TGTGAATGTTCATGGCTACATTATTCACAATAGCCAAAAAGTGTAAACAACACAAATGTTTGTCAACTGATTAATGGGTAAATAGAATGTGAAACATTTATAAAATAGAATATTATTCAACAGTAAAAGGGAACAAAGGACTGATACATGTTACAACATAGACAAACCTTTAAAAATTATGTTAGGTGAAAGAAACCAGTCACAGAAGACCATATATTGTTGTGATTCCACTTATTTGAAATGTATTTTATTATTCCATTTATATGAAATGTCCAGACTAGTCAAACCTATAGAAACAGAAAGTAGATTAGTGATTTCCTTAGACTGAAGGGAGGCAAGAATGGGAAGTGTCTGCTAATAGGTATAGGGTTTTTTGTTAGGATGATGAAAAAAACATTCTGAAATTGATCATTTTGCTAGGCACTCAACCCTGTGACTATTTAAAAACCATTGAATTATAAACTTAAAATGGGTGAATTTTATGCCATGTAGATTTTATCTCAATAAAACTGATATATATGAAAGACTTGAGGTTATAATTTTAAAGACCATAATAATCATGCTTGATTAAAATGAAACAGTAATGCATATTGTACTTTGAGTATCTCCATTCACCATTGCTCAAGCAAGTTTGTTTTCCCCCATATGATTGCTCCTATTAAACGTGATACAGATTTCATTCAATTAAACGTTGACCTATTTAGAAACAGAAATGCTATAGAACATCCTACAGGTATAGATATATCATTTCCATTTTTTTCTCAGATGGGAACCTTAAGCTTACTAGAAATGCTTAGAAAGAAATCTTCACTCTGGAAGTCACAGCCAAACTGTGGTGACTTAGAATTTCTCGGGGAGCATGTTACCAAAACAGATTTCTAGGCATTGGTCCTCAAAATTTCTATTCAGTTGGTCTGGGATATTACCTAAAATTCACATCTTTATCAAGTGATTGTGACACAGGTGGTCTTCAGATAATCCTGCACTGCAGGAATTCTAGGGTATATAAGGAGCAGTATGTTTAGTAAAAACTGCACTACAGAAATCTAAGAGTAAATGAAGGGCAGCCCAGGACTGAGGTGAGAGCCTGTTCCCTGGACATAGATTCTAAGGGTTCAAATTCTGCCCCAGGCACTTCCTACCTCTGTGCCTGGGCCAGGTTCCCTGAGCTTCACTTTCTCCTTGGTAAAACGAGGACAAGTCCCCTCACAGAGTTAGTGTGAGAATGAGACAAAGTCACATAATGATACTTAGAACAGAGACTAGCACAAAGTAAGCACTGAAAATGTATTTGCTGTTACTATTAAATGTGAATTATAAAATTTAAATGCCATGTTGATCACATGCAAAGAAGTTTAGGCTTGCAAAATGTACTGTAATAGCAAATTAATTTATATAATGGTAACATATTCCAATCTGATCATTTAAAATAATAATGTCCTGGGAAACCAAGTTTTCAGCTTTGAGTTGGCATCTAAGCCATAGGTCGGATGGGGCCTACCAAAGCCAGAAAGTGACTAGGATGATGGGCTTGGCTATAGAACCATACAAACCAATCATAGGCTTTCTTCTATAAAAGTCAGAAGATAGAAAAAAACATTTTTAGAAATGATCTTGGGCCGGGCATGGTGGCGCAGGCCTGTAATCCAGCACTTTGAGAGGCCGAGGCAAGTGGATCACCTGAGGTCAGGAATTCAAGACCAGCCTGACCAACATGGTGAAACCCCATCTCTACTAAAAATACAAAAATTAGCTGGGTGTGGTGGCAGGCGCCTGTAGTCTCAGCTACTTGGGAGGCTGAGGAAGGAGAATCACTTGAACCCAGGAGGCAGAGGTTGTAGTGAGTTGAGATTGTGCCATTTGCACTCCAGCCTGGGCAACAGCGAGACTCTGTCTCAAAAAAAAAAAAAAATCTGTTAGTCCGAATTGTTATTGACTTGCTCTTTCTGGAGAGATGTTTATACTCTTGAATATTCTGATTTAGTTTTCCTTTTCCTTTGTTTCTTATAGCTATGCTAAAATAGAGCCTGTCCAAGGTTCACTCCCATAAAATGTGTCCTTCAGTTTTTTGTTTGTTTTTTAGCATGAGAAGGTCCTGTAATATTTGTGTTAAAAATTACATCTGACTATAATTCTTGGCTGACTCTCAGCTGATTCAGGTGCATTTTTCCTCCCTTTGGCTGATAGTTGCCAGCACAGGCTGTCAGTCAGCACCATTTATGGAGGTCCCCTGGTGTGCAGGGCCTCAAAGAACCTCAAAACAAAACAGGAGCTAACGCTTGACTTTTACGGCACATACAATTTATTGGGCCAATCAGGACAAGCACAGAGGCTACATACATAATACATGAAACATGATGCAGACATATACCATCGTGTACTAACAGGATCAGCCTGAGGCACATTTTCTATGTTTCTTCCTCACTCCCAGGTGCTGCTTTACAGTCAGTAAATATTTATCAAATGACATCTGTGTGTAACATCCTTTAGTAAGTGACAGATACTACACTCAAGACCTTCCTACCCAACCAGTACTTTCTAAGCTATTGGCCACTTTCCACGATTCACTCCCCAAGCCCCTGCCCCAACTTCAGGGTCCTCTTTCTCTCAGGGCCCTTTGCTTAGCTGGCTATAAAGAAAATCTAAAATTTTTTTAAATGTCACACTAAAGCATGACTAGTGGGTTACAATATACTATTTAAACTTTTTATTAGTCCAAAAGAATAAATTTATGATGGTGAAATTTTAAAAGAAAAGGCAATTAGATAAGAGGAGATATACTTTGACATGTATGAAGTTTCCTTTTTTAGACAGTACTTTTTAGGTTTGTATTTGCAGGACCAGCACTGCTGCTGCTATTTCTTTCCAGGTCCTCAGTGAGACTGAGGGGTCAACAAGTAGTTTTCTCCCCTTGGCCTTAAAATCCAAACAGCCAGGACCTGGTGTGGTGGCTCATGCCTGTAATTCCAGCCCTTTGTGAGTCCGAGGTGGGACGATCACTTGAGTACAGGAGCTTGAGACTAGTGTGGGCAACAGAGTGAGACCTCCATCTCCACAAAAGGTAAAAAATAAAAATTAGTTAGGCATGGTGGTGCATATATTCAATCATAACTATTTGGGAAGTAAGCTGAAGCAGGAGCATCACCTGAACCCAGAAATTTAAAGTTACAATGAGCTACGATCGTGACACTCTGGCCTGGGCAACAGAGCAAGACCTTGTCTCAAAAAAAAAAAAACAAATAGGCTTCTCAGAGGCACAGTTGTTTGAAACTAAAAGAATAATATGCGTTTCTTATCTGATAATGGCTTCACTGTAAGATAGAACATTTTTCTTTTATCTGTGCTTTGATTAGTAGTAGTCATAACTTTTATCTACAGATAAGGCATAACTTAGAAAAAGAATAAGTAAATACAAATCTTTAAATGCTGTGCATCCCCTTTCATTAACTAACACGTATTCACTGTTGCTCAAGTAACTCTAATTCAGTCTCTGAGTGTTAGTAAAATTAACTCACCCAGGACAGAGGGTCTGACAGCTGTGGGCTCTGTCTGGTTCATATAGATTGTGCATAAGTGTTTCAAACCAGATCTTTTCTTTGATTCCTATTAGCTCAAGTCTCTCTACTTCTTTGCTCCTAACCACTTAGAAAGCCCTGTTTGTCCTTCTAAGACTCCTGCTTTTGGTCTTTGGCTCTACATCTGGAGGTATGAATGGAAAGAAAGTAAAATTATATGCCAGCAGTCTTATGCCACAGAGACAATTCTTTCCTTTTTAGAAAAAGTGCCCCAAGCCCCATCCTGGCATCTTTTCATTTTTGAGTTTTAAAAGAGTTCTGTCTATCCTTTTCCCAAATCCAACTCAAAATATGAGAGACGAGTTAGAATTTCCAAATTTAGTTCACTAGAAAACAGTTTTTAAAGTGGAATACGGTTTTAAAACTGAGAAAAAAATGCCCTTTGTATCTTTTCAGTCTTTTCATAGACAATTTATTCTGCCTAATTTAAAATGAGGTTTGTAATTTTAACTGTGGTATTGTTTGGATGACTAGAGAAACTCCCAGGTGGTAACACTATGGGAATTCCTTACGGAGGAATGAACCTGAGATATAGTATTGAAAGAAAGAAATATGACATTCAACAAATATCAGTTCAACAAAGGAAGGCATGAATTTTGAAGTGTGGGAAATCAGGTGTGTAAATATAAAGATGAGAATTACTGAGTCATGTACTGAGAATAGAAAACCAGTTTCCTGACCTTATCTGTCAGCATAATAGAGGATTAGGACATCTGGAAGAAAGACTAATACATTTGTAAAAGATCTTGAATTTATGGTTGGGGAGGAAAGATTATAGAAGTGAGTAAAAAATAAAAATGTTTTTCTACCTTGTTTATTAGTTAATATATATTTCTCAGACTTTTTTAAAGATTTCTCACTATGAATACTAAATATTTTCCCGATTTAAATCCTAAACAAATAATCTGCTTATACTGCCAGCTTTCTAAGTATGATGCAGACTTAGGTATTTGTACATTAAAAAATAAATTATTATGGTTTCTGGGAATATGTTAGAACAGGTACCTTAACTGACCTTCCTGCTAAAAATAACTAAAAATGTAGAATAAAATTATTTTAATGCATTGATGACCTGGAAAGTTAGTAAGGAATACTCTGGGATCAAAAACTAAGTGAAATCAGGAATCCCAGGGGGTAAGCCAAAGACAGGCGAACTTTCACCTTGAGAACACCTGAAGCTTCCATTTTTATGCCTTTGAGAGTGCTGGGGGTAGATGTCAAAGCCCAGGGCCTACCCAAGCTAGGGAGCATTAAGAAAAACAAAATTCAATTACAGTCTCTTTACAAAAGACTCATCTAAAACTAAAGGATACAGAAAGGTATCAGGGGAAGGGGTACTTTAAGTAGTACTAGAGATCAAAGATTAACATTGGGTATGGACAACTACAGAACGTATGAATAAGAAGAAAGCGAATTCACACCCTTTTAAGGAAACTATTCAGCACAGTTTATTAAAATAAAACATTACATGAAATATACATATGTTTTGACCTAGTAAAGCCACTTCTTTCATGATCCTTTTCAGACTTTCTTCCTTATGATTTAGACACTGGCTTTGATGAGATTAAGATACCAGGAAGCAGACAACCAAATATGTGATTTGTTTAAGGTCTAACTGTAAAAGTTGTAAACCACTATATGTTGAAATTTTGGCTGGGTAAGGTGGCTGTAATCCCAACATTTTGGGAGGCTGAGGCAGGTGGATCATGAGCTCAAGAGATCAAGATCATCCTGGCTAACATAGTGAAACCCCATCTCTACTAAAAATACAAAAAATAGCCAGACGTGGTGGCAGGCACCTGCAGTCCCAGCTACTTGGGAGGCTGAGGCAGGAGAATTACTTGAACCCGGGAGGTGGAGGTTGCAATGAGTTGAGATGGCACCACTGTACTCCAGCCTGGTGACAGTGCAAGACTCCATCTCAAAAAAAAAAAAGAAAAAGAAAATTTAAAAATAGTGATACATGGTTACATGAATGAAAGAAGGTCAATAAAGAATGGAAGTGAAGGAAAAAGTGCAGAGGCCATTTTGAGCAGACTTAGGTTTGGTAGACATTAGTGTTCAGATGTAAAAGTAGTTCCTAGAACTATTTGGAGGCTTTAAAAAACCAAAAACCCCAGGAACTTCATCAGAAAATCAGGATTCCTTACAGTAGTTTCTGGCCAGGTCTGCTTGTCTAGAACCTCAAATGGGCTCAATGTGACAGCAAGGAATGAAGTGCAGAAGTATGTACTGATATAGGACAAGAAAATCCTTACCACAGCAGTCAGACTCCTTTTTTTGTTGTTAATGAAAAAGTCTAGCTCTGTCACCCAGGCTGGAGTGCAATGGCATGATCTTGGCTCACTGCAACCTTCACCTCCCAGGATCGAGTGATCCTCTCATCTCAGCCTCCCGTGTAGCTGGGACTACAGGCATACGCCACCATGCTCAGCTAATTTTTGTGGAGACAGGGTTTTCCCAGGTTTCCCAGGCTGGTCTTGAACTCCTGGGCTTGAGTAATCCACCCTCCTTGGCTTCCCAAAGTACTGGGATTACCTGCGTAAGCCACTGCGCTTAGCTAGTTAGACTCTTGAGGGCCAAAGTGTCCACTCTCCCCTACACAAAGCCATTGGTTCTGGGCTTTCATAACCTAAAAGGTTTCTCATTATGAGTGGGTTGCTGGAACCATAAAACTCTCACTGGGCCTTGTGAAGAATGGGGGAAGCCCAGATAAGGTGTATCTGCTCACCCCATCATACAGTCATGATCTTGTATATAACTTTTTCACATTGTATTCATTCAGGTAAAAGAAAGTAAAAGTAACTTAATCATGTCTGAGGTTGGTGTTGGTGGCCTAACATCTACCATAAGGCTTTTGAAATACTACACTAATAAGTACATATATTTATTTTTAAAAAACTATTTCATTTATCAAAGCAGTATTGGCATAGTAATTCTCATATTATCATCAAATAATAAAATTGCTTTTTTTACTCAATTATTTAGAATTCTAGAAATTGCAATTGAATTCAATATTGTATTTAAATAAAGAACTAGAAGGAAGAGAATGAAAGACTTGGGAATTTATGGTATATAACAACACAAAAGAAAGAACTCTGCATATTTATGGAAACTTTGTTGATGGTACAGTTCTACTGAAACTCATACACATTTTACTGCTTAATTTACATATTATCTTGGTGGAAAAAACAGTATTTTTTACTTTTTCAATTTCCTTACATTAGAATACATGTAATTCTATAGGATATCACTATAGGTGTTATAAAAACAAGTGATATAGGTGTTATATAAACCACGGTAGGTCCACCACCACATCAAAGATAGAGTCAAAGATACTTCAAAGATTACATGAAATGATCTGAAAACAAATTTAACAAAAATGTGTACTGTATTGGGGCACATCCATGGCCCACCCAGACTGTATTCTATCTCTGACTGTGGCATCAAAGAAAGGTATATGGAACTAACACTGACCTTCATGATATTGCTCTAAAGTGGATTGGATAACACCTTTCCCTCTTGACCCAGTATCCCCAGCTTTCCTAAATAATGCAAATGTCAGTCATTTATATATTGTTTCAAGTCTTTCTAAAACTTATTTGTATTTGCACACTGACTCATATATAGGATCACAAATTGATTAAGTTTGCTATCTGCATGTAGAGTGACCTTTTCTTTATTTATTCCAAACTACCTTATTCAAATAATTAAGAGAAGCATTTAGCAGGGCGTTTCAGAGAGCAAGAGGCTCCCTTAAAAGAAGGAGGTAAAATATGAAGAATGCTAAAGCTGGGTTATAAAATATGGAGATGCATTTAAATATTTACATTCAATTATGATTTAACCCAAAATATACAATGCAATCTAATTCTGGAAATTTCAAAAGATTTATTAAAAATGCAATAGCATGGCGGGGTGCGGTGGCTGATGCCTGTAATTCCAGCACTTTGGGAGGCTGAGACAGGCGGATCATGAGGTCAGGAGATCAAGACCATCCTGGCCAACGTGGTGAAACCCCATCTCTACTAAAAATACAAAAATTAGCTGGACATGGTGGCAGGTACCTGTAACTCCAGCTACTCTGGAGGCTGAGGCAGGAGAATCATTTGAACTCAGGAAGCGGAGGTTGCAGTGGACCAAGATTGCACCACTGCACTCTGGCTTGGCAACAGAGCAACATTCCGTCTCTAAAAAAAAAAAATGCAATAGGGTATGAATTGTATTCCTTTCCCTCTTGTATCTCTGTGAGGGCAGATTCAACGTCATTTGGAATGTTCTCAAAAATCTGCCCTTGGGGTTCTATATGAATGTACGGCTTGAAACCAAAAGGCCTTCCTGGTCTCCTTGATAAACCCTGATATCTAGTTTCTAATAATCTGAGATTTGATGATGAAGTCTCTCGTTTCCTGATCCTTGCCCTTTCATAGTTTGTATCAGATTTTTCATGAATGGTAAAAATTAAATAAACTGTTTAGTTCAGGTTGAGTTGAAGGTGAGGGAGAGTGAGGGGATAAAGGGATACAAATGAAAGATTTTTCTTTTATGTATTGGCTAATTTTCCTTGTATGGAAAACTGGTTTGGCAAACTACAGGATATTAAGCAATGTTAAAAATAATTAAAGAAGCAAAATAGTGGCATAGTGTGAAGCAATGGAGAAAGTCATTTGAGGCAAAACAATTATAGGTATATCTATATATCTATGACTGTATCTCCACATATATCCATTATTCAGGAAGTTTACTTTTAAATAGGATATAAACTGCCCTTCCCCGACCACTCCATCATCATGCATCTTTTGGCTGGTTATGATAGCTGAAAGCAGGCAGCTGCACTGGCTGATTTCTTGAGACTTCTTATTGGTTAGACAAAATATACATAGCTCTTGACTTGATCTTTGCTGCTGTTACTCTGTTTGACTTTATGTAGGCAGTCACGTCTGATGTGCTCTTTCTGTTGACTATTTAAGTACTAAGCAGTAGCCAAGTCCTCAGAGTGGGAAGATTCTTCTCCAGCCATTTTATATTTTTGGTTATGGTTTCCAGAACAATTTGAAAAATATCCAGATGTGATCCTTGAGCCTCAAGAGATTCAAAAAATAGTTTAACCTGTAAAATATGCAAGAAAAAATTACTGACAGTTCATAAAATACTTTGTGTTGGCCAGGTGTGGTGGCTCACACCTGCAATCCCAGCACTTTGGGAGGCAAACGTGGGCAGATCAATTAAACTCAGGAGTTCAATATCAGCCTATGCAACATGGCAAAACCCTTAACTCTATGAAAAATAAAAAATAAAAAAATTAGCCAGACAAGTTATATACACACAGGTATAGGAATTTCTCTGCCACCTCTAAAAGATTATTTTCTTCTTTTCTGCATAATTATTCACTTTATCTTCAAACAATAGGTCAAATAAGACAAAAATTATAAATTCTCATCTTACAAGTGAACATACTGTGGGTAGAGAAGTTAAGTGATGACCGGGATAATCCCAGCACTTTGGGAGGCCGAGGAGGGTGGGTCACGAGGTCAGGAGTTCAAGACCAGCCTGGCCAAGGTGGTGAAGCCCCATCTCTACTTAAAATACAAAAAAAAAATTAGCCAGGCCTGGTGGTGGGTGCCTGCAATCTCAGCTACTTGGGAGGCTGAGGCAGAGAATTGCTTGAACTCAAGAGGTGGAGGTTGCAGTGAGCTAAGATTGTGCCACTGCACTTTAGCCTGAGCAACCGAGTGAGACTCTTTTTCAAAAAACAAAAAAAGAAGTTAAGTGATTTACCCAAGTCACAGAGTAAATGGTGAGCTGGGATTTAAGTTCTGGAATTATGAATTTGCTTAAAGGGTAAATAAATTCAAGATTTATTGTGAAAAGAAGATGCAAAGACTAGAATTTTTTTTTTTAAGACAACTAAAATTACCAACAATAGTTTGTTAAAAAAGATCATTAAGTATGCTTCCAAACTTTAATATAATCACTCCTGCATCATAATACAATATGAAACAAATAATACAAAAGGACTAATCTCTCAAGTCTATTTTCATTTTGAATACTACAAATACATGTATTTTAAGAGTCAGGTTTTAATCCTGCCCCTTCCATTTACTTGCTCGATGGCACTGGACAAAAAAACTTTTTTAAAAAATAAAACGAGAACTTCAAACCAGATTGTATCTAAGCTTACTTTCAATTCTACAATTTGAACATTTATTTCAAAATTGTTAACAACAGTAAATCACAAACCTCTTGCAATTTATCCTTGCAGGAAAAGTGAGATGTTGTGCTGGAGATGATTATCCTTATGTCAAATGAGCCCAAGTCAAATCTGAAAATAAATATAAATGCCATAGATTTAGGTCATAGAAATACTGACCTTACATTTATTATATCCTGTATTATATTTTTAATGTATGTTAGTAACTATGTGATAAGCTTGTATATTATAATAGATACTGTTAATTATCACAATAACATTCATCCAATACAATTCTAAAGCTGTGAAACAGCAAATTTTACTATACAATGAAAACATAGATATAGCTTCTTTGGGAAACATGTTAGTTCTTCTGAAATATTTATGTTTAAATTTATGTTTCTGTGTAAAGCAGTGTTCTCTACTTCTGTTCATTACACATTCCTGTCAGTAAAGATTTTTTGAGCAAAAACTTCCCAATATGCATATTTTTATTTATAAATTATATGCATGTATTAAGATATGATAAAAATTAAAATGATGAAAGAAATAATATATTTAATTCTTTACACTATACATCATTTATGTTTATAAATTTATAACAACATAAAATTTAAAATGAGATAAGAAATAATAGACTCTAATGTATTGCATTGCTTGCATACTTCTGTATCCCATTTTGGATACCACCACATTTAAACATTGTGTTCAGTGGGGCAATGTTACTTGGTTGAATTCTCATTCATGGCCACGGAATACATCCTTCAACCCAATGTTTTATATATGGAAAATTTGTACTGTACCATGGGTCAAAGTGATTCATGCTGATAAAGCAGAGGATAGTTACAGCTCAAAAAAAAAAAAAAATGGTTCCAAACCTAGGCTCTGCACATGGTTGAGCAGGGGCATCATTTTCAGTTTAAAATGAAATCCACAACATTGCAGGAAAAGTCTGATCATTTCAGGAGGAAAATGACAATCATGCAAACAGACATATCAATGGTTCGAGTAGAGTTTTAAAGGAAACACACACACACACACATACATATTAAAGCAGTTTCTATTTGGTCTCATGTGGATGTCAATGAGCATTTGAAAGAGGAGTGGAAATGAGCTTTTTGCTTATGCAAAGCTGTCTGAGAACTCCAAACCTTCCATAGCTATGAAATGAGAGAGAAGGAACTAGGAATTAATGACATCAGGGATGCTAACTGATCCTGACAGAAACAAAGCAAATCATACCCCTCTGATTCAAGATATTTCCATACAAGTCATAAATGACATTTTTAGATTTGGGGAGAGAGAGAGAGGGAAAGAGAGAAAGCAGCAATGTTGTCGTATACATTCCAACAAAATCTAATCATTATTGGTTATTTTAGACCCAGGGACATATTGAAGTGAGCTCTAGTTCTTCCCAAAGTTGAGATGCCAGAAAAGACAGAACCAAAACAATTTGGAGGGAGATCTCCCCAAGCACTCCTGACTGGGTTTCTTTCACCTACACCAAGGTCTCCACTGTGCCACCTCCACAGGGACTCTAGGGGTGAAGAGAAGCTCTTACCAAAATTCCTGAGGTTTTCCCCCAGTACAAAACTGCATTAACAAAGGAGGCCACATATGTGTGATGCACTCTACAAGACATCTCGAGATTCTTCTGGGCTGAGGAGACAGCCAAGAAGGGATGGTGGGAGGGGGCTGATGACTGCATTTAATTCAATTTGGACTTGCTCCCAGAGGTTTTTTTGCCTGGACTGAATGAGAGAAGGCTGTTTCCCCCTTCCCTTATTCTCATGTCTCTCCCACACTCCAAATTATAGGATAATTTGGGCTAGGGAGTTTCAAAGTTGACTTCATTGAACTATTTGGATACAAATGGTATCATTTATATGCTTTGAGAAACATTTAATTACACTTGGTTTGGGCAACTGAGACATCTGCATGGAAGAGTACACATTGGATGTAAACAAATACCAACTTTTTCAGAAGATGGGTCCAGTTTTCTCTCACAAAATCCCATGCTAATTGCTGCCCCTTTGGATTTCTGGCAATTGCATGAAGGAGAGCTGCCAAGTCTTGTATCTTGATAACTTTTCCTTCCATTCCTAGTTCAAGTAACCTGAAGAAAGAAAAATCATTTGTTTCTAAATATTAGGTATTATGTACATGGACATTAACTCAAGCTACCAATATATTAAAAGAACAGAAAGAGGCATGATAAAAGTATAATTCCCAAAACAATAATAAATTTTCTAGTGGCTAATATTTTTAATGTTCCAATTAAACTTTTACTTTTTTTAGAAATATTTTTTATTTTGTTCCTAGCAAAAACATTTACTTATTATTTTAAAGAACTTTGATTAGCATGGTGTACACATTTTATATGCAAGAATGTATTTTTACTGCAATAATTTTCCTTCAAGGTTCTGAAGATAAAACACAACAATTTGTCTAGTATCAGTCATTTGATTAATAACTAGGGAATACCTGTTTTCACTATTTGCATTTTGTCAGTATATTCTTTTCTGAAAGGTAAAGCCATATACATTCTGATTCAATAACCTTACACCTTTAAAACTGGTGGCTGAAGTTTTAGTGACTTCACTGAATTTGTGTCAGTTTACTTATAACAATTTAGTTTAATTATTGAACTTACTTCAGTAACTTTTCCTGATGCTTGCTCGTTGACAAACCATACAGAATTTTGTTTTTTTCAGCACTTGACATTGATAATTCATATTGCTCTAAAAGGTAATTCCATCCTGCTGTCGTCTGAGCACCCACAGAATACACAATATTTAAAACATCTGTTGGTATACTGTAATAGCAAGTAGAAAAATGAAGAAAAAAATTTATGAAAGAAAAACTCTTTTTTCTTATTACAATTTTAAGGCCCATAACAGAATTGTCTCTGAATTATTTCCAGTATTCAATATATTAAATCTTTTTGTCTGCCAAACTCATACAAATATTTTATGTTCTTTTACTCTGCAAATTATTTGTGTTTTATCTCCTACTTATGAAAAAATGTTAGCAAGAAAATAAGCATAAAATTTTAACCTACTCTGAGGTGAAAATAGAAAGTTGATTTAATCAACAAATATAAAAGATTTCTGAAATACAAAACAACTGGTTTATATAAATTCTACCATTTAATAACCACTATTGATGCTATGAGTTTTTTTAAAAAGATGATTACTTGATGCTTTACCACCAAGTTGAGGGCATTGTTTTTTCTTCTTCTTTTTTTTTTGATTCAGGGTCTTACTCTGTTGTTTAGGTTGGAGTGCACTGGCGTGATCATGGCTCACGGTAGCCTCAGCCTCCTACCCAATCCTCTTTCCTCAGCCTCCTGTGCAGCTGAGATTATAGGCATGTAGTACCCTGCCTGGCTAATTTTTAAACTTTTTTGTAGAGATGGGCTCTCATGATGTTGACAAGGCTGGTCTCGAATTCCCAGGCTCAGGTGATCTTCTCACCCATTGGCTTAACAGGCATGAGGCACTGCACTTGGCCTCGTTGAAAGCATTTTCTAAGGCCTGTCTGGGAGTTATCTGTCTCTCCAGGCCTAGAGAATCTCAATTTAGTACCATTCATTAGGGTCTAGTTATTTTATAATTTTTTAAAACTGGTAAGATGCAGTGAAATTATTTTCTGTCCTACAAAAGATACCGTTATTTTTATTTTTTATTATCTTGAGGACATTAACCAGTTTTTATTCTAAATGGGCATATGATTTTTAATCTCGAATGTCAATAGATCAGTGAGAACTATTATCGATTTCTCAGAAAAAACACAATGCAGAGCATTGGAGAAAGCCAGAAATCTGCATTTGTCACAAAGGGACCATGTGGTAGAGATTGTACTAGTCTCCATGCATCTTATTTAACTGTCAAAAGCTACCCACTGAGATAGTTATTATCCTGATTTTTTTACAGCAGAAATAAATCTAAGAAAAGTTAAGCTACTTTCCTAAGATGACATAATTTGCCATTTTGCAGATGGGATTTAAACCTGTGATTCTCATGCTTGTGCTATTTCCACTCTACTATATGTACTTATACATTCCGAGTGACATTTTAATAATGTAATAAAGATAGAATAATTAAATTATAATACATATTGTTTTCATTTTAGTGTCTTTTGCTGGACAAATTTATAAAAATGGGTAACAAACACGTTGTAAGCTCCCTGAAGTGAGGCCACATGGTTGTTTTGTTCACCACTTTATCCTTAGCTCCTACAGCAATGCCTGGCTGGCATAAAGGAAACATGCAACTAGTTATATTTCAAATCTACCAATGAATGAAGTAATAAATTAACTTATGAAAGGAAATTCTTCATTAAAATTCATACTAGCCATCTTGGAGTTTGGAAAAAACAAAAATATTTAACTACATATTTTTGATTACAAGCATAAATAAGCTTTACCTAGAATATTTTCATAGGTATGTTCAACATGTTGAACACTTGTATCTACTGTATATGGGTTACTGCAGGTTAAGATGATCCTTCTTGTAACTAGCATAAAGATGAAACAATACTATTCTATGTTGTATAGGGCAGCAGAATGTTTACATTTTAGCTTCATTCATACAACCCATTCAAACAGAAACAAAAAGAAGAGAATAACAGCCTTAAAAGATTAAAAAAAAAATTTTTTTTCTAAAACTGATTTTAGTCTTGAATCCCAACAAGGAAAAAAGTCCAAAAAGAAGAAAACTTGAATTACTTTTTTAAAAAGAAAAATTCAAGAAAGAATTTCAAAAAGCTCACAGAGATTTAGTTATAGGGAAAGAAGTTATGCTACCATTTTATAACAATTTAGCAGAGGAAGTTTTTTGGTTTTTTTTGTTTGTTTGTTTGTTTTTTTTAGATAGGGCCTTTCTCGGTTGCCTGGAATGCAGTGAAGTGATCTTGGCTCATGGCAACCTCTGCCTCCCAGGTTCAAGCAATTCTCCCACCTCGGCTTTCCAATTAGCTGGGATTATAAGCATGCACCACCAATTTGGCTAATTTTTGCATTTTTAGTAGAGAGGAGTTTCACTATGTTAGCCAGTCTGGTCTTGAATTCCTAACCTCAGTGATTCACGCATCTTGGCCTCTCAAAATTCAGGATTATAGGTGTGAGCCACTGCACCTGGCCAGCACAGGAAAAATGGACACCATTACATTTCATAGTATCAAAACTGTAAATTTTTTCTTCTCTTTTAAGAACACTAATTTTCCTTAATTCATATATAAATTTGACTTCCTAAAACATCCAACTCTAGAGTCAGATTTTAAAAATAATGATATAAAGGCATGTGTTGGACAGAAATTAAGGTTTACTTTAAAAAGATTGAGTGGCTTCTGTCAGTATCTTGGGTTACAGCTGCTCAACTGAACTGCAACATAATGCATTTGATCACTGGGCATCTTCCTGATTATATTCATCACTAGAATTAATTTTGCCACCATTCACATTTAGATGGCCAAAGTCTTCCATTTCCAATCAAAGATATAACTTGGGCTAGGGCTTGACCTTTAGCATTGGTTGATAAGGCAGCAAACACATTTTTTAAAAAAGTAACACTCCCTCTTCTTTTAAAATGAGTTTTATCAAATGGTCAATTGTGTTCAACTGCATGTATATTTCATATTGCTTCTTCTAACATCTTTTTTATTTTTAAAAAGGCATTGTTTTTGGAAATTGGGCTCCCCTGCCTCTACTACATGGCTGTCTTTCTGTTATCATGCCAATGTTTATTAGGTCTCCCCACAGACACCTAAACCTTGCTTTCCCCAAAATCTATTGAGCACTTACAATGTGAGAACATGAAACAGGATTTGTAATTCTCAGCATGCTTTTTTTTTTCTATCCTCACTAAAAGGTTTTAGATCTAATGTCTTGCTTGATCAAAGACTTTTACATCAAAGAGAAAAGAATAAAGAGTAGGACAGAAGTCTAGATCTACTTTAATTTTCCACTGGATTCCATCCACTGAGAGAAGAGTTCAGCAGCTTTCTGGATGCAAGGAGCATGGTTCAGGTCACAGGCCAGCTTCAAGAGAGCAGAGTGGAGCATCCTGTCCCAGACTGAGCCCTCGTCACTCCAGCTTTGCCTGTCAATCAATGGCTTAAAATACTGAAGAAGGTAATGCTGCAGAAAATATGAGATGGTTAACAGAGACACTAAATTTAGTTCTTCACACAGCTCTTGCCCATCTAAAGGGCTCAACTCTAAACTTTCTGCCTAAATAATGTATCTTTGTATTTTTCTACTCTTTTTCTGGCTCCTACCCACCACACTTAGGAAACAGAGATTTTGCATTAAAACATGATTTAATTTCCTATGTGAAAGGGCAATATCAATGGATATAAAATAAAATCAACTTTAGTAGAGATGCTTTGCACGTGCCCCTAGTGCAATGGTATCTATCTCTTAGAGTTGGCAATGATAAAGATCTTAGAATTGGCAATGATAAAGAATGAGGGTCATTGACCATTACTTGCTATCAGCCAGTCTCCTGAGCTGCTTTATGATTTTACCTCAAGGACTTCACACAAAACAGACGGAGCCTCATTGATACTCCAGACATTGTGTGTTTACTTAATGCATTTTCTAAAAGCAACACAAACCTTGAGGTTTTCAGAGACATCTGAAATATTGCTTCTGTCCATCATGCGGTAAAGCAATTCTAAGTAACTCAGACCTTTGAGAAGTGCAGGGCTGCTTGTTTCACGTTGGAGGTAGTGAGTCATGTCAAGAGCTTTGTCTAGGGTCAGTCTTCCTGCACTGAGGTATAAAACAAATGTCAGTGGTTTGTGCATAACTTACAGTTTTTAATATTCTTAACATTAAAACAAATAAGAAACAGAGAACAATAACAGAAGTAGGTCATTATAGCTAGACCATTTGGTTTAAATCTTAGCTCTGCCACTCATTAGCTGTGCTTTATCTGAATGTTTGCTTAGCTTAAAGAATAAACACATATATAAACATAGACTTTAGCCCAACAGTAAAAATTGATACCTACTTACTTGTATCCAATTTCGGTTAGATTGTACCTTTGAGAAATAAAATTGCATTCTTGAAGCACCAATTTGGGGGTTTATTTTCAAGATGTGAGACTAAAAGAAGCAAATATAGCTTCTTCTATAAGCAAATTGAAGTTGTCATTTCAATTCCACTCAACTCGTACAAGGCTCATGTCTTTAAATTACATTTAAAACGTATGAAAACCTAACTAAAATAGATATCCATTCTTGCACCAAATTCTGTCTCCATGCTGGGTGTGATGGCTCACAACCGTAATCCCAGAAACTGGGGAAGCAGAGACAAGACGATTGCTCGAGCCCAGAAGTTTGAAACAGGCCTAGGCAACATAGGCAGACCCCATCCCTACCAAAAAAAAATTAAAAATTGGCTGGGTGTGATGGTCTGTGCCTATAGTCCCAGCTACTCAGGAGGCCAAGATGGGAGGATCACTTGAGCCTAGGAGATTGAGGCTGCAGTGAGCCATGATCCATGATTATACAACTGCACTCCAGCCAGGGTGACAGATCCTCAAAAAAAAAAGGAAGAAGAAGGATAAGAAGAAGAAAAAAGAGACAGTGTTGTGTCGTGGTTAAGAGAATGGCTCTGGAGTCAGCCCTTGGATAACGGGTAACCATGTCTTGTCCACTAAAGAACTAAATAGTATCACCTCTTGTAAAGATTGATTTAGACTGGGCATGATGGTTCATGCTTGTAAACTCAGCAATTTGGGAGGCTGAGCAGGAGAAGTGCTCAAGGCCAGGAGTTCAATACCAGCTTGGACAATAGGGAGACCTGGTCTCTACAAAAAAAAAAAAATTAATTAAAAAGAAAAAAATTTCTGTCTCCAAACTAAACTATGGTTTCCTTTAATTCTGTTTTTGTTTGTTTATCTTTTGAGACAGAGTATCATTTGGTCACCCAGGTTGTAGTTCAGTGGTATAATCTTGGCTCAGTGCAACCTCAGCCTCTTCAAGCAATTCATATGTGTCCACCACCTGAGTAGCTGGGATTACAGGCATGCACCACCACACTGGGCTAATTTTTGTAATTTTAGTAGAGACAGAGTTTCACCATGTTTCCCAGGCTGGTCTCAAATTCCTGGCCTCAAGTAACCTGCCCACTTCAACCTCCCAAAGGTTGAGCTGGGGTTACAGGCGTGAGCCACTGTGCCTGACCTCCTTCAATTCTTAAATAGATGTTTCATAAAGCAAGGAGGGAAGTGGTTTATAGTATTGAGAGAGAACAGCAAGTAAAAATATTTTATTTAGTTTTATCTATTATGAGAACTTTAAATTGTTTCCTTATACTAATTACTTTTGTTATAAAAGTAATATAAGTAAATATAAACAAATTATAAAACAACTGGCAATTAGAGAAGACTCATAATTTCAATACCTTACACACTCACCAATAGCATTTTAAAATAATTCCTTCAGGTTTTTGTTTCCTCTTTGCACTTATTTTCTTCAATAGGTAGTTACAAACAAACATAATAATATACAAACTTACATTCTGCTTTTTCCCAACTTCACATTATTTGAAACATACTTTTCTATGTTGTTACCTCCTCTTCCTATTCATCTCATGACATTTCAAATAATTTGTATTAGATAATATTAATAATGTTATCAGCTGACATTTATTGAATAGGTATTGTACTTCCTCCTTTATTTTCATTGCCTTACACAATCCTCCAAACCCTGTATGTTAACTATTATTATGACTAAAATTTTAAAGACTGGAAAATTTAGGCTTAAAAAGATTAAAAAAAAACTTGCTCAAAAAATTAGTAAGTGAAGAGGTAGTACTTGAAATCTTCTGTTTTCACATAAAATTTGTATTCTTAACCTCATTAATCGGTCTACTTAGTGAAGAAAAGATGATTGGTTTTCTACCAATGAATGAATAACTGCAAGTGTCCTCCTGCTAAATTTAGGCAATCATAAATGCATAGGCTAGAAACAGCAAAAAAGACTTCACAACTACCTAAAAGTTTAATTTGCTGAGTTCTCAGTATTCTCCATTATTTTCCTGGTCTTGTATTGTTAATCTATCTTCTCTTCAGTCTGCTCAGAGCTTCTCCTTTGAGCAGGCAAACCTCCTTCAACTAACAATAGCCTGCTTCTTAGCTCACCTTTCATGCATTCACTCATATATAGGATGGTGTTTTTCCTAATTTTGGCCTCTAAAATCATCTTGAGCTATGCCTCCAAGATGTTCCTGAGACCCTTGCGACTGAGGATTAAGCCTCACTTCCTCTTTCTTTTCTAACTAGAGGATTTTAGTGTACCGAGAAACTTTGCCTGAGAGATGTCCTGTTGGTCACTTTCACTCAATTTGAACTAAACAAGCTTCTGAAAGGAAATTATGTCACATTGAGTAAAGTGAGTGCATCACAGTAATTCTCAGAATAGAGAAAGCTTACAATATACGATATTCTTCCTGATCCTCAGTTCCCTCCACCCAATGGTGATCTTGTGACCTGATTTATTCTACACATTATTCCATTGATAATAGAAATAGAAAAGGAAAGAAAACACTTTGTCCTTCCAGGAAAGTGTAGAGAGGAATAATTGCAAACAGCCAATTATTACTTCATTTCCCTACAAATTTCATACTAATTTCTCCAGTGTAAGTAATGAATAGATTGATAACAACCCATTTAAAATTATAAAGGTTACGACTATATTTATGCCTTTTCTTTAAGAGATTACACAGGTATTTGGTGTAGCAGCTACACCAAAAAAATGTATAAATACATTTTAAATGTGGGGTCAAAATCTCAAATACTTAGAGAGTCCACACAAAGTAAATGAAACAGGCCATTTGAGACTGGTGCTTGGGAGAGAGTAGGCGCCACTTAAAGAGAGTCTGGCCCACTGTACCTTCCTTTACAGCTGTCCTGGGGCCCACAGGATAAAGACCCACAGTTATCAAATATCATTTTAAAGAGAGTCCAAAAGTCAGAATTTTTATGTAAAGTTCTCCACATTTTAAAATATTGGATTATATTTATAAACACTGTATGGGTCAAAATACCTTATTAGTGGATAGCCTTTGGCCTAGTGGTCAGTGCTTGAATTCTATTCAAATCCATATCTAATAAATGACCAATGCTGAACATTCAATACTGAAGTCTAGCATAGCTTGTTACGGATCAGTCATTTCCCACAAAGACAGAAGAAATGTTACCTTACCCAACTAGCTGAAACACATCATGAATCAGACCTATTCTGTCCTTAGGTCTGAGAAGTGTGTGGTTCTGATTCAGCTGTGTAATAAGTTGGTCCCATCCATGACCCTCATAGTGAACGATGTAGTAGCCATTTGAGTCCACATTAAATTTCACCCAACTGGTCTTTTCAGGTAAATCCAGAATATCTAAGAGGATAAAATTGGTATAGGTATTTTATTATCAACATACATATTAGAAACATCTCCACAACTGTTAGTTTTAATTCAATCACTTATAAATCAATGAAAAGACAAATTCTGGGGAGAGTCATAATGATATTCATTTTCATAGTCCACTGTATGCTTTCTTTTGGGGACGATGGCCTTATTAAATTTATAAATAAGTTAATTCATAGAAATAGGACTGCTGAATTTGTTCTCCAAAATTGTCTATGCAGGTCTAACAGGCATGCAAGGGCCCAGTGAACCAGATGACTAGCATGATGGGTATTTGGCTTCATTTGCTGGTGCCCTTATCTCAAGGCTTAGTCACTAGTCATTGAAATATGTATGAGTAAATAGGTGATCCTTTTGTTCGTTTTAGTTGAAGAAGGACTCCAGGTTGAGCATGACTTTGTGATAAAAAATCTCTCAAATTTTATTAAAGTGTTTAGAGGAAAATTAAAATTATACTATGTATTTTTAATACAGCATACATTATACTCAGGGGTAAAATTACATTATAATATTCCCTCAACAATTCTGTGAGGCTTAATGCTTATTCAACATAAGATGAAAAAAAATGAAGCCCAGGATAAGTTTGGGAATTTTCTTAAGGTCATGAATCTAACAGGTGAGAGAGTGAGGATTTGAATCCAGAAGCAATCAATTTTAAAGTACATGCTTTTTTCCACTGATCATGTTTTGCCTCATGCATAACCTGTAAAATGGATTAGTGGATATTATAGGACATAAGATAGATTTTTGTCATTTCTTGATGTAAATAATCTATCTCTAAATGATAAATGCACAAGAGAACTTCCCACTGAATGAAAAATCCAGACTTTCTTACTAAAAGAGTTATTTTAGTAAATAACATATGGATAACTTCCATAAATAACATATGACAACTTCCCTCAAATATAAATCTTTTGTTATTAGATTTATGTATTGTATCTTTCCTTCAAATAGCCCAACACATGTTTAATTTCAACACTGAAATGCCTGTTTGGCTAATTCGTTCATTACCTGTCTTTGATTTTAGAATGTGTCTGTGGATCACATTAGAGGAACTTGTGGAATAGGTCAATGGGATATGCCACAGGTACCTATGTTAGAGAGTAAAGATAGTTACAGACTAAAATAATGCTGCTGTGATTTTTTTCACATTTAAAGGGCCCCTAAGTACCCATCATCCTTCACACCACCCACAAGAGGTCCTACAAATTTTATAGGCTAAGACTAGCATACCCTTAAGTATGCAAAAATGGATTCCATTATACTTATAAAGGAGCAGCCATATGTACCTGGTTGAACTCTGCCACAAATGCTTGTGTCATTTGCTGTCCTAATCTCATACCAAAACATATTCTGCTGTTTGTATGAGAAAGAAAACCCAATATTCCTTTCACATTTTCAAAAACTCTGGTAGTCTGATGCTGATTCAAATAACTACACCAAAGCTGTAGGGAAAGCCTTTAGAAGTAAAGAACTTACTCCAGTATGATTTTCTGCTTATCCTTTTGTTCAACAGAGCTACTCACATCTAACCTCCCAACTGCTGAATGACTGCAATAAATAGTCAACAATGCTACAACCTAGGACCTGTAGGAGAGCTAAATCCAGAGAGCAGAAAAGCAGAATGGATTAGAGGAAACGGTCTCAGTTACTTTTTAATGGCTCTGCTGTAGTAAATCGGAGAAATTGGCTATCTTTTTCTGATTAACTTTTCTAGCAGCCTCTAGAATTTATTTCCTCTATTAAATCATGCCATGTTAGCTATAGTAATCCTGCACACGTAAAATCATTTGCTTGATAACACCAACAGGTGTAAAACAGACAGAAGAGTAAGTGAGGAAGTGTCCATTAATCCTTAGAAAAATGTAAAGCAGTAAAGGAGACAACATACCCTGACTCTCTCTAGTCTAGTAAGGGTCAGGAAAAATAATCCTTGTGCTACCCCCAGAGTACTGCTAATTAACCAGAAAACCCAAAATCTTTACACAAAAAGGTAGAAAAGGGCAGGCTCAGTGGCTCATGCCTTTAATCCCAGCACTTTGGAAGGCTGAGGCGGCAAATCACTTGAGGTCAGGAGTTCGAGACCAGCCTGACCAACATGGTGAAACTCCAGGTCTACCAAACACCCAAACACACACACACACACACACACACACACACACACACACACACACGCACAATTAGCCAAGCATGGTGATGCAGGCCTCTGTAATCTCAGCTACTTGGGAGCCTGAGGCAGGGGAATTGCTTCAACCCAGGAAGCAGAGGTTGCAGTGAGCCAAGATTGTACCATACTCCAGGAGACTCTGTCTCAAAAAAATAAAAAAGAAGAAGATTTAAGAAAAAACCCATGTAGATGAATATCTAAGACTTAATGGATTGGGATCCATTAGTGCATCTTGGCTCTAGAAGAAAAGGGATTTTTCTAGATAAACACATCTGGGGGTAGAGACAGGGAGAATAGTACTTCATGAATTTGGATAGGCATGAATCAGAGGGCCATCATTTTATAAAAATTGTCTAAATAATGCCCCAGAAGGAGAAAAAATACAGATTATTGTAGAAGATCTTTGTTATTCTGGGTCAGCCACAGTTTTGAACTCTCTCATGACATTTTGATAAGTTACATAATTGCGAGTCCTGCTTTCCCAATAATGAAGCTAACATTAAATTATTCAGTCTGGTTTATCAAGCTGAAACTTGTCTAAGCTCTCTGAAGTTCAGACTTCAAAACAACACACAGACAAATAGAAGGATCATACGTAAGAAGTGCCATAAGAGTTGCCATTGGATTGGAAATGTGTAACTGATTAAACAACTCCCCAAAAAGCCCCAGTAATTTTATGTGTTAAAGATCTCTAATTGTTTCTGATTTTCAGAAAAATTCTAGCATTGATAGCTAAGTTCTTTAAAAACAAAATTATCATCATAAGAACCAGAAAAGATTCACTTGGATTATTTCATTTTAAATTAACCTTATTCATCTTACTAACAGGGCTAATGATGAGACAGAGCAGGAAGGGGGCTTGGCGTCAGCTCACTCCCACTACAGCATTCTTTCCTGTATCCCCAATGATCACAAAACCTACACCACTACCTCACTGATGCCATAATGTTTGGACCATGCCTTTTAATTTAATGTTTGAAACATTCATTTTAATTTCCGGAGCTAGCCTTGGGAGATAACCAAGGTTGTGGAGCATCCGACTTACGGAAGGAATGTTGAAAAACTGTTTTCAGCCTTGTTGCTTCTAGCCAGATTACCGGTAGCTCATTACTCAAGATTGTAGCAACCAGGTACTGCTTACCTGCATACCTTATCCCTCATGTGCTTTGCCCAGTCCAAACTGCATACCCTGCCCGGATACCAATTCCTTTGCTGTTTTTGAAAAGTCAGTCAAGGAATTCTCTCTCTGTCTCTCTCTCTCTCTCTCTCTCTCTCTCTCTCTCTCTCTCTCTCTCTCTCTCATGCTGCCTCCCTTATGTCTGGGTATAAGCTCCAATGAAGCCTTGTCTGGGAAAACTCTTTTGGCCTCATGTCAATTTCTATTGCTTAGACAGCCCAAGAACCCATGGTTAGTAGCAATAGTTCAGAGAAATATGGACAGTGTGTTACTTGATTCCAGTAGTCTTTAACTACTTTCAGGATGGGCTGGTGAACAAGATGACAAGTGTGTTTAGTTGGATTTGCTTTTACTATTACTAAGAACATCATATGTTTTAAGACATTATATTTATAGTTTATTACTGAAAAATGAAAGGCAGCAGGAGATCTTAGCATCTAATTTATCACATAGGGGTATCTTTTCTCTGATGATAAGAAGGACAGTTGTCATACTTCCCAGGTATAGGCCAATCACAAGATTTATTAGGGCCCGGAAGTCAGTGCATTATAACATGTTTACCCACCATCAGCATTAGAATTGAGGTTCTCAAGGCTGATGGAATCACTAAGAATGGTGCTGCTGAACAAAGTAGTCTGGATCATGTGAAGCTCTTTAAATCTTATCAGGTCTACTTTAGGCCTCTGCTTCCTATATGTAACTAGCATTCTGCAAAGTTGCCAGAGGAGCTGAGAGAAAGCTAAGGAAATAACAAGGAAACTGAGATGAGATAAGCTAGACCAAAAGAAGAAAAGTAGGTACCTTTCCTGCAGAACCCTCCATTCAGGGTCCTCTTGGAAAACCCCCTTGAGGAAGCGTTCCTGTTGCAGTCGGAGTGAACACCCATCTTGTTTAACCACCAGGAGTGGGATACCTTTCTGGAGAGTCCACGTAGTCATCATCTCTTTGACCCCCACATTTTCCCCCAGAAAGGTGAGCTGAAATGACAGGTGACTATAGTAACTCAAGAGTAAAGAGACAGTCCAAAGAAAGATCAGAAACTTCCATCTCCTTGGATGTCAGAAACAAGGCTTGGGGAATGGAAGACTCGGGCTAGTATCTCAGGAAGGGCAATCCAGGCAACTGGATTAGGGAGGCTGTCCCAGGGCTATTCTCTGCAAATGAGTTCAATGAGGGATGCATACGGGATTTTATAGGGTTAATACGTGGCAGGAAAAACCAGTGAAAAGGAGGTTGAGACTGGAGTCTTTTTCTTGACCCTTTAAAAAAACAAACAAAATAAAACAATCAATCAAACAAAAACTCTATTATAATAACAGTAGAATATAGGAGGGTTGGTTTAGGGAGGAAATGTCTATCTTTAGAGAAGCTTTAAATATTTCAATGGAACAATTTTATATCAATAGAGGTATAGTGAATGAAGAACAAAACCTCTAGCTGCAGTGCTTCTAGTATGGGTTTCTGATCACTGGATGATGCTGAATCTTCCTTTAGAAACCACTATTTAGGGGATTAGCATGACTCTTTTTTTAAATAAAGTTTTTCATTTTTTCCTTGTGATGATTTTTTTTTCCTTCTTTTCTGGAGTGATTCTATAACATCCCAGAAGCAAGGAAAAAGAAAACTATATACTGTATTTCCAAACCTAACAGCATATTTATTTGGGGATTTTTCAGAGCTTAAGAGATGCCAATGCAGTAGTAACCACTCAAAAACATGTTGAGCTGAGATATTTTTAGCTAGTAGTGGGGTTGTGGAAAAGCTGAATTATAACAAAAATGTAGTAGCAACAGCATCATCACCCTAAATACCCCAAGCATTCTCCCTTCAGTTTTGTTTTACAGAAAATTGTGCGGTCTGTCTTTCTCTCCAGCTTTTAAAATCTTCCATTCCAGCTCTTAAGAAGTACAGGCTGGCCGGGTGCGGTGGCTCAGGCCTGTAATCCCAGCACTTTGGGAGGCCGAGGCGGGTGGATCACAAGGTCAAGAGATTGAGACCATCCTGGTCAACATGGTGAAACCCCGTCTCTACTAAAAATACAAAAAATTAGCTGGGCCTGGTGGCGTGTGCCTGTAATCCCAGCTACTCAGGAGGCTGAGGCAGGAGAATTGCCTGAACCCAGGAGGTGGAGGTTGTGGTGAGCCGAGATCACACCATTGCACTCCAGCCTGGGTAACAAGAGCAAAACTCCATCTCAAAAAAAAAAAAAAAGAAGTACAGGCTGTAGGGTAGTGGTGCAATCTTGGGTCACTGCAACCTCTGCCTCCCAGGCTCAAGCAATTCTCCTACCTCAGCCTCCCAAGTAGCTTGGATTACAAGCAGGTACCACCATGTCTAACTAATGTTTGTATTTTTAGTGTATTTATTATTTCATTATGCATGCCATGTTGGCCAGGCTGGTCTTGAACTCCTGTCCTGAAGTGATCCACCTGCCTTGGCTTCCCAAAGTGTTGGGATTATAGCTGTAATTCGGCCATGAAAGTGCTTTTTAAACTGTAAACTGCTACATAAATATTGAGCAGTATTATTACTGTCCCTGGGACACAAGTGCTTATAAAAAAAAAAAAAAAAAGGATCTCTCCTGTCTACAGTGACTTAGGGTTCTTCTAACTGCAGGTATGAGTTCTCTGGGTCTAATAATTCTATAAAAGGTTATTTTCTTTGGGCTACTCTATATATCGTACTGACTCCAGGTCAGGCTATTCCACAGATCTCTTCTACTTACTCTGTGACTCTCTTTATCCTTACCATGTTACTTGTCATCTTGGAATCTGAAGGACAAACTCCACCAGATGTAAAATCACTTTCTAAACAACTCTAAAAAACAAGAACAAAAGAGTATTGCCATGTAGCCACCATTAGTTGGCTAAACATGCATGTTAGCCATGGATGCAGGCATTTATTGAAATAGCTATATGAAGTAATTCATCCAGACACAATCATGAACGTGAAAATGAGAAAAGCCATCTTTGCAGTGACCTGGGATAGCAGTACACAAACGTGATTTATTTGTTTATACATAAGCATATGTAAAGTTTCCTTAAAAAGGTCAATAAAGTCAATAATTGTTCTAAGGAAGAGTCCATTTGTTGAATTCTCCATCCAATTCTTCTCTTTCTCTTAAGAAAGGTCCTATTTTATTATTTCATTATGCATATTACCCATGCCCCTATTTAGCACATAAGCAACCCTGTCTAGTACTATTATCTGTCCCCTGTCATATTGCAAGTTATTTGAAGTAGGGGAAACTCCTTTGTTTACGTGGGTGTTCCTACAGTGCCTATCACAACAGTATGTGATGAGCGTACAATATTTTGAGTTAACTGGGAATAAAATGAGACTTAAGAAAACTACCAACTTGGCAATCCACCCTTGAATAACTGGTAGTTAATGCTCTATGGGCAACTGCAAATGAGAAAAAATGAAATATGTGCTAAAGCTCTCAAATGCTTTTAAATGATCTTATGAAAAATAACAGCAAAGAATTCTTCTCATTCTCAAGTTGCTATTGACATGTATTAGAATTGACTTTATGTGACACAATGGTGGGCAATATATTTTCATTAATTTATTATTTTAATACTACAGGGCCTTTTGGTGTCAGAAGGGAGTTGGTTGAAATCTAGGACCTTTAGTGGAAGATTGATGGGGGACTTTTCTTAATAACTAGGAAGTAGCTGTTATGTAATTGAAAGAATAACTAAGTACTGATTTTGTCAGTGAGTTGGTGACTGGGCAAATCTCTCTCTTAGTATCAGTTTTCTCACCTATAAACTTGGGGTGATGATGACTATTTTATCTCTTGAGATGATCTTTTAAGCATGATGTGACAAAGAAACCACAGGAATCTATACTGCTGGCCTAAAATGATCCGGTAATTGCTGGTCAAATTTTCTTTTCAACTCTCACCCTCTACCACTAGTATCCACACTAAATGATAGATGTTGGAGAGAGGCTAAACTGATGTCTACAAATATACATACATGCACACACACAAAGCAAGGCAGAGGGAACCGGAGAGGGATGAGAGAGAGAAGCGGCACAATACTTGGTGTTGAGAAGCCTAAGTGGAAGCATGGAGAAAGAGTATCTAGACCACTGACAGTGGGTGATGGAAATGGATAGTAAAGAGTATCTTTATAAGATATTTATGAGGTTTTTTTTGTTTTTGTTTTTGTTTTCGAGATGGAGTCTTGCTCTGTCACCAGGCTGGAGTGCAGTAGCATGATCTCGGCTCACTGCAACCTCTGATTCCTGGGTTCAAGCGATTCTCCTGCCTCAGCCTCCCGAGTAGCTGGGATTACAGGCATGTGCCACCATGCCAAGCTAATTTTTTGTATGTTTAAGTAGAGACGGTGTTTCACCATATTGGCCAGGATGGTCTGAATCTCCTGAACTCATGATCTGCCTGCCTCAGCTTTCCAAAGTGCTGGGATTACAGGTGTGAGCCACCGCCCCTGGTCTGTAAGTATTTTTATAACTAAGAACTATGTATTTCAATAGTCTCAGGATTTTCAAGATATGCAAGTAAAAAATTGGAGCTGTAAAATGATTTTTGATTGTTGGAGTTTGTTTCTACAACTACAAAATCACGTATCAATTGGACCATAAGGGCGCTTTATAAGGGCACAAAAATATCAGATGAGATAATGCACATGAAAGTGCTTTTTATTATTTAACTTTGATTCTTATATTATTATTATTATTATTATTATTGAGACAGAGTCTTACTCTGTCACCAGGCTGTAGGGTAGTGGTGCAATCTTGGCTCACTGCAACCTCTGCCTCCCAGGCTTAAGCAATTCTCCTACCCCAGTCTCCCAAGTAGCTTGGATTACAAGCAGGCACCACCATGCCTAACTAATGTTTATATTTTTAGTAGTGATGGGGTTCTGCCATGTTGGCCAGGCTGGTCTTGAACTCCTATCCTGAAGTGATCCACCTGCCTTGGCTCCCCAAAGTGTTGGGATTATAGGTGTAAGCCACGGTGCCCGGCCATGAAAGTGGTTTTTAAACTGTAAATTGCTACATAAATATTGAGCAGTATTATTACTGTCCCTGGGACACAAGTGCTTATAAAAAAGAAAGGATCTCTCCTGTCTACAATGACTTAGCGTTCTTCTAACTGCAGGTATGAGTTATCTGGGTCTAATGATTCTATAAAAAATTATTTTCTTTGCAGTTGGAAATTTTAAGATATTTTAATAATTATTAGAATCATCTGAATTAACTGAATTTTTCTGCTTTGTCTTTCCTATTATCTACATGAATCCCAAAGACAAGAGACCATGAGTTATTTAATCAATCATTAACCACCTATTAATCATTGTTATAGGATCAACACATGCTAGGTGCTATGTATTAAAAAAAAAAAAGACACAATTTTTGTTCTTAAGCACATTATTATTATTGAACTGATAAAAGCAATAAAAGAGGGTGCTATTATGTGGAACAGATTGTAAGTGCACTTCTAAAAATTTAGGAGACAGGCAAATGAATGAGGGCTGATCAGTCTTAAGGAGGAGGCAAAATCTCAGCTGGATCTTGAAAGGTAGCATTTGAATTGTTGGAAAGAAGAAAGGGCATTTCAGTTTGTAAAGGCACTAGAAATAAAGGCAAAATGATACAGGGACTGAGCAAGATTTCTTCTTATGAGGGAGAGGATTAGTTTTGCTCAACAAATAACACACATTGGGGAACGAGGTTGACAACCTTAAAATTTGCCAGAGAAGATTAGGTGTTATATGGTAGGAAATTGCAACGTTATTAAAGATTTTGGATCAAGGGAACATAAAAGCCATAGATGAGAAACCAAAGAAAGTCAGGTCAAATAGTGAGTCCCTAGGGCCAGCCCAGCATGACATCCTAGTGTGGCATCGGTGGAAAAAGGGAAGTGCTGCCTTCTGTGGACCATGACAACCTAGCAAGCAGAATAAATATGGTTGATTGACAATACATGACTATTTATAAACATTCACAATTATTCTGTTACTTTCTAGATTAAATAACAGTCTACTATTACCTAACATATGACTTACATTGGACAGACTGCTCCACTAATCATCATTCCTAGCATTTCTATAGCTGAACTTCTTTAAGTAGTGAATTATTCCTTTCTGGAATTTTTCCTCAGTCAGAAAATCCCTCAGCATATTCAAAATACAAGCTCCCTTTAAAAAAAAAAAAAGGGAAAGAGTTAAAAAAAGAGATAAAAGCATAGTATAATAAGTTTTTAAAGGAAGCTCAAATTTTATGAAACATATGTGATGTCTGAAAAACACTCAAATAAAAAGTGAAATAAGTAGCAGGTACTGATACCAATGACTTAAACTGCGGATTTTATAGTCATTACTATATTTCTTCTAAAAGCAGAGCTTCCACCTGCATATGATATTTACTACCTTGTTATAGGAAACTTCATCAAACATTTCCTGTATTTGAGTCGGGGTTTCTGCTGGTTTGGAGACAGGGCGGGATGAATTCAATGAATCTCTTGTAATTACTTCAAAACACACATTCAAAAAGTAGTCATCCTACACAGAAAAATATTCAGTTTAGTTTCTATTGGACACTGTAAAAGCAATAGAAAACATAGTAGGCTTAGTAAGATGTTCTTAGAGGTAAGAATTCAATCAATATTTCTTACAAGATGTTTCTTTTTGTTTATGTATTTCCCCTTTCGCTGTTTCTCTACTTTAAAACGATACAAATCCAATATTCCTTCAGACATTGCCTGAATGTTTACCATGTACCAGCCCTTGAATACAGGAATAAAATAATGCTTCCCATTTAGTGAATACTTGTCATGTGCTTAGACCTATCATCTGCAACCCTGTCAACACCTCTGCAAGGGAGATGCAGTATATGCATTTTACAAATGAGAATATATAAAGCTTTGGCATTAAGCCACAGATTCAGAACATACACAGTAACAAGAAGAGCCTAACTTTGAATCCATGTCTGTCTATAGTGTACTGGAAAATATATACCCCAAAGACCTAATTAACCATTACTAACCACCTTGATAATCAAATTTATATGGTGTTCAGACCACTACGTGCATTTTTAAAAAGACATACTTGAATAAATCCCTTCACACATTTTGGGGAAGCCAGCAGACCCTTTGGAAATTCTAGAAAAGTACATCCCCAGTGATGTTGATTTCAGGTTACATGCCCGAAAATTCTGTATACTACCTAGTAGCCATGGGCGTTCCTGTGTGGATGTATACAAACAGTGATGTTCTTTCCTGTCACCTCACATACACAGCTCTACATTTGTGTTAGTTTGCCTTCTCTGTTCACAAACTTTGGGGTGACAGATTTATATTAATCATTTTCTAAAACCTTTAATGTTTCATCCAGTTCTGTGATCTGTTTTGCATATCAAACAAAATGCCATATGTTCAAAAGCCACAACATTATGTAGTTGTTCTCTTTAACATTCCCTTGAAATTTTGATAGTGAATTGATGATTCTTTATGCTGTATGGTGTGACACACAGAATTGTGAACTTACGACTTGCAGCTCTGGATATGTAGCATTAACAGCAATAAGTTCCATGTAGTTTGCAAAACCCTCATTAAGCCAAATATCATTCCACCATTCCATTGTGACCAGATTGCCAAACCACTAGGAGGTAAAAACTCAATGTTATTAGAAGTTAAACAAATAAAAATTATTAAATTTTTCCAACAAATATAATGGTTACTAATTTTTTTTATTAGTTAGGGTCTCTCTTCCCTCTTTGCTACCCTTATCTCTTTGTACAATTTTCTTCTCCTGATTTCCTTGCCTTCTTATTCTCACTACCACATTTTTGCTTGATTTTCTTTTTTCCTTTTCTGCATGTTATCAATGCCCTTAATTCTTCAACTTTCATTCTATCTGTCAACATTTCCTAGTTATTAGATTTAATATGAAGAAATAAAATGGAACATTCTATGAAGGTAGTTTTTCTTTTCCACAGAATAAGAACAATCTCACCCTGTCTTTGATATATGATGATGTTCTAGGGAGAAATATAAACCCAAGTGCCCTGGGTGAAGTCATCTTTTTATATTAAGTAGCAGGTACTTAGGAGAATCATAAGAATTCATTTAGGGCTCTCAGATTGTTATATAATATTATTGACGATGAAATTCAGTTGTTAACCTCTGCCCCTGACTTACTTCCAATAGGCCACTAGAAACAATAAAGGTCTAAGATTTAAAATATGTATAGATAAAATTAAAAGGATGCATAAAGATAATCGACATATTTACCCTTTACCTGTATTTGATCTGTATTATACATTTCAAATATTACTATTCTTTTATGTGCTTTTATATTTTATTTATTTCGTCTATATGCCTAATACTGTGTATCTAGTGTATGTCTTTAAGATTGCAATCTCTAGAAGGACCAGAGTTTCAACAATAAGATTCTAAGTTTCAGAAGAGCCTGGTTATAGTTACAGAACAGAAAATTATAGGTCTGTAGCTCTAGAAACAGTTTAAGCACTATTTCTTTTCTGACAGCCCTCAGATTACTTTCGGGTGGCACCAATTTTCTGAAGTGCATTCATGGAAAAGGAGAGGAGGTGTTTCCTCAATTTGAGAACTGGATAGAAATTCAGGATAAACTGATTCTGAAGTACAGGATAAACTGATTCTGGTCACTTCATCAGTTAGTAAAACTAGTTTATTCATTCATCCAATAAATATCTGTGGAGAATCTACTGCATTCCTGGCACCATGCCATGTTAGAAATACAAATATATGTCTAATATAACCACTGCCTCAACACAAATAACAGAGGTCAACCAGTAGACAAATAAATACAATAAAGCAGGTGCTAAGATCAATGTCTTTGCCAGGGACAGAGGGGATTCTAGGAGGAAATAATCAGTTTTGGCAGGACGATGTATATAACAGTTAGGAAATGCTCATTTCCTGAGCTTTGTAAATAGTCCTCAGGTATGCTGAATATCATGTAGCAGGAGCAGAGGCATGGCGATACAACCTGGCATGTTCAGAAAATGGCAGGTAATCTTGGATGGGTACAGCTTGGGTATAGGCAAGAGATGAGGCTGGAGAGGTAAAAAGGAGCTGGGTCATGGGAACCTTATATGCCATCCTCAGACAAATGGCACTGGGGAATCCTTGCCAGAGCTATGCACAGAGTGACATGTTAATACGATAATCAATGGGAAGACAAAAAAGTGAGGTCAAAAATTCCAGTGCTGTTTGCTGCTTCAGCACTTGACTGCATCTCCGTGGAAGAGAAGCTATTAAAGGGAAGGCCAGAGGGAGCATGGAGCCTCAGACAGAGAGCTCACAGAGCACTTCCCTGCAAACACTGGGCAGAAAGATCAGAAATCCCCAGACTCAGTTAAGTGCTTTAGAGCTCCTGGTAACTCCTGATCAAAACACTTAAAATGGGCCAGTGGGGAGATTCTGAACCAGAGGAAGCAGCCCATGTGTTCTCGAAGCACAGTGCTGAGCATGGCTCTCTGTGTAACAGAGTACTTAGTTCACTGCTTTAAAGAACAGCAACACATTATTGTAGTGATGATAAAGGATAAAGTTAAAACGCTTTAAATAAGAGATTTTACCAGATTCTACAATGGAATGATATTCACCCACTTGGTGAAAGACAATTTTGGTGTCTTTAATAATTTACTGCATTACTGAGAGTTTCCAGAAATGACAGAGGGAATAGTCTCTGATATCTATGGACCTAGTTTTATAGTCCACATTTGTATGTAATACAGAGTTGATAGATGGCCCTTAGATAGCTTATGTTACAAGAAATAATAGTATTTCTTGTCTATAGCATACTGTACTAAATATATATCCCAAAGACCTAATTAGCTATTACTAACCACCTTGATATGCAAATTTATATAGTCTTCAGACCTCTATAACCATTTTTAAAAAGACATACAAGAAATAGTAATATTTCTTGTAGAAGTAGTGGCCACTGTCATCATCATTAGTAACTAACACTTATTGAGTGCTTACTATGTGACCTGCACACTTTCCTTATCTATAATTCTCACAACAGCTTTATGAAACAGACTATTATTAACTTCATTTTATAGATGGGGACACTGGACCTCAGAGAGTTGGTAATGTGCCCAACACCATCAGCCCATCAAGTTTAACTTCAAGTATTTCATTACGGCCATATACACACAGGTTACAACTGAAGGAAGATTGATTTTGCCCTAGATTAGAATGCCAGAGTACCAGGGGATATAAGGAGAAATATTTTAGCAGAAATCTTTATTTGCAAGATTTCCAGTTCTGTGCTTCATGTGTCTGCATAGTCACGTCCCTTCTTTTCCCAAACAACATTTGAAGGCTTTGCTTTGAAAGGTTTTAGATGATAAATGTAATGGCTACTTCTGGTGATAAAATTCCAGTATGCATACCATAGTTCAGAGACTGAGTGCTCTGCTACTTGACATATTGTGTTATGTTTAATAATCTCTAAGTTCCCCTCTAGAGGTAAATGATATGATTTATTTTGTCTCGGGAAGATTGGTGGTGTTCTATATAATGTCCTTGTGAACTAATATGGAGATAATGTCATGAGTGCCAAGTACCTGGTGCGCCAATTCATGGGCTATGACTCTGGTGACCCACAGCTTATCAGAAGCAGAAGAGGTCTTGGGATCAAAAAGCAGTGATGTCTCCTTATATGTAATGAGGCCCCAATTTTCCATGGCTCCAGATCCAAAGTCAGGAATAGCAATTAAATCTAAGAAATAAGAACGACCATACTTAATTCTTATGGCTCCCACACCAGAAATAGAATTTGCTCCCTGCTCAAATACACAATGATCTTTTAAGTATATGTAAGCAGACTTTTCGAAAACATCAAGAATAACTTAACATTGATAGGGTGTCTTATAGTTGCACTGAAAATAATCAGTGTCCATTATCAAGTGGAATAAATTGTACAGAGAGTTTTGTAGATGAAGTAACCTATTGACATTTAGCCATTTTCTTCCTGAAAGTACTGAACTCTGAAAATATTTTGGGTGCCTTACTGCCAAGAAGATAATTTATTTAAAGACATTCATATTGTATTTTAAACTTTTTAAAAAAGGTATCAAATAATTTCTAATATGATTGAGATTCATCAAAACATAATGAACTTGTTTCTAGAAAAATAAAGATACAAGATTTTAATTTCAGGAGAATACCTCTTAGGAGCCATCTCTATAGTCAATATTTTGATGATATTTCTGGCACGTATAGCTTTTATTATAAGCAAATGTCCTTCTAACACAGTAGAGGAAAAAGCTCTGGGCATTGATTCTTTCTGACTTCAATTTTCTTTTCAACATTGATATTTCCTCTACTTCTTAAGAAAGCATTGTGGGGGGAAAAAGTGCAACCTAATCATCTTTAAACAACTCAGGTATAATGCATTAATTTGCATTACATGTATGTGTGTATATATTACAAATGCATATATACACACAAACACACACACATATACAGGTATATGTATATGTACATTGTTTGCTATCCTTAATGATTTCACGTAGGTTAAAAAATTTCTGGCTAATGTTTAGCCTTTGAATTCTGCTAGCTAAAAAGTTCTATTTAGCTTTAATAAGAAGATAATTTTATTTTTAAAAGTTCAAAATGAACCAAGTTACTTGGCATATAATTACATTGTCTGGAGTTAATACTGGTTAATTCTAGTAGATTAAAAACAATTATACAAAACACAATCAAAAACTAAATTAGCCGTAATAAAGATTAGTATTCATTAGCACTTCAAATGTGGGAATGACTTTTCTTCTAAGTTGCATTGATGATTTTATAGTAGTGGTACTTATATCTCCTCTATTTTTTCTTAAGCTGCATGTTTCTTTTCTGTTAGTGGTAGAGATATTCCATATGCTCTTTAAGACTGCATTTTTCAGGAACAACATTAACATTGTTCATGGCTATTATTAATCTTTCTTTGGCTTTTGACCTAGAGGACAGCAATGAATTATGTATAAATGGGATTTAGCCAATCTGTACTAAAGGGTATATAGAACCTGCACAATAATAATAGAGTGAGACTCAGGAACTATCAAAATAAGCCCCTGGAAATAGCATTTAATTTTTTTAAGCCTAGAACTATATGCCAATTGATGGTCCCTTTTAATTTATGTAAGGAAAATGCATTGGAGTTGGGGGCAAGAGGTGAGAAAGGACATGATAAGAAGTATATTCTAAATCCCAATGGAAAAAAAAACTGTTTCGTCACTAGCAGAAACCCCAAGCACTAATCTGTATATGCTATGAAACTTTCATCACAATTTTTATACGCTGTACAACAGGGGTCCCCAACCCCGGGGCCTCAGACCAGTACTTGTCAGTGGCCTGTTAGAAACCGGGTCTCACAGCAGGAGGTGAGTGATGGGCGAGACAGCCTTACTGCCTGAACTCTGTCTCCTGCTAGACCAGTGGCGGCATTAGATTCTCACAGGAGCATGAACCCTATTGAGAACTGTGCATGTGAGGGATCTAGGTTGCATGCTCCTTATGAGAACCTAATCTCCGATGCTCTGAGGTGGAACAGTTTCATCCCAAACATTTGTGGAAAACCTGTCTTCCACGAATCCAGTCCCTAGTGTCAAAAAGGTTAGGGGCTGCTGCTCTATAACATTCTAAAACTAGAATTTTTAAATTTTTTAAGATAGAAAATTAAAAGCAAGATAGACTACGAATATCATCTCATATAAAGACCTACTACCACACCCAAATGATCTGTTTCCTACCATTTTAAAAAATCTGTTCCACAGTCTTACCATCCAACCTCAGTGTCCAATGTAAGTAACAGATGGAGGCACAGTTTTCAGTTCTCTGTCTACATAAACCTTTGAACAGGAGAGAAACTCCATCTCAAATAAATAAATAAAGTGTAAAAAGTAAAACTAAAATAAAAGATTGTTCACCTTGTACAAATAGGACATAGCGATTGCTCCAGAAATTCCTCTAATTGTAATATGCAATGTGTGTGTGTGTGTGTGTGTATTTTTTAATGAAAAATTCATTCTCTAATCAGCGCTGCTGGGGCATAGAAGAACAGCATGATGGGAGGTGTGTTTCCCTCCCACAGAAGAGGAACATAATAGGTGAGAGCCTTGATGTCTGCCACAGGGAGCCACAGCATCACTGTGGTGGACAAATATTCAAAGAACATTCCTGTGACGAACTCTTGGACATGTGGACTCCTATTTTGAACAGAGCAGTCACTGTTTTCCTTCCCTCTTTCTCTCCATCTCTTTCCAGGGCCCTCTACCTGGCTTCTGTCCAAGCCTCCAGTGTGTGCCTTTTCTGATCGGCCTGGGAGAGTGAAATGCAGATATATTAATGTTAAATGGGATAAAAGAATAGAGAAATGATCCACACTATTGGGGCATCTCATAAATATTTTTTGCACTTAAGGACCATCTCTGAGGAACAAATGATTTTTTTCTTGAGTGCTCATTTAAATCACATAGAAAGAGATAGAAGGAGGGAAGAAATCAAAGCAAGTTCTAAATGAAGAAAATGACAATAATATGGAATTTGAACATACCCAGTTTGGGGAGTGGATAGTTGATATCAAAGTACTTTTCATAAAAATCAAGTAGCTTCAATGATGCCTGCAAAGCATAATATGTTTGATTCCATTTGTCTGGGGACGCGTAGATGGACACCTGGGAAATGTGGATCAGAAGAGGTTTTTGAATGACAGCTCCCTGGCATAATTCCGGTCCTGATAACCCTCTCACACAGAAAGGCAGACTGCATCTTTTCAAGAAAGTATTAAGATACCATTAAGCATGCTGTCAATAAGGATAAGAGGTTCTGTGAAGTATGAAAGCAAAAGTCGGTCTTGAAAATTACAAACACCCTGCAGCATCTGTTACAATCCATTTCCTCAGTGCTCGTCTGTAACTTTCAAACTGTATTGACCCATCGTATCATAACCCAAGTACTTGACAACTAGCTTTCTGAAATGATGACCACAAACACAATCCAAATAAAACAAAGGTTTCTAGACCCGTGTAGGGAAACCCTGAAGAACTTACTGGATCCATCCTCTGTCAAGTTTGCTTTAAACCAAGAAATGCTCAAATATGTTCCAAGGCTTCCCCAAGAAAACTAGCTATTAAGTAGAAAAAATAGAATTAGATCCCAATTTTCTTGGCTTCCAAGTATAGGGCTACTTTTATTTCATGACACACTTTTATGCTCTGAATTAACTGAAGTCCTTCAGAACTTTTATATGGAAAATATGTAAATGGCCATCATTTTTTGACAGTTTACCAGGCACTATGCCGAATGCTTACACGTAAAACCTAATTTAATATTTGCACCCACTCTATGAAGTAGGTGCCATTTTATAGATGAAGCAACAAAAGCACATGAAGATTTAGTAACTTGCTCCAGATCACCCAGGCTGAAAGTTGAAGACCTGGGATGTGCATCCAAGGAGGCTGACGGGAACCTGTCTTCTGAAGTGCCAGTCACCTCCTGCCCACCCATGTTTATGCACATATATATCTATGTGCAGAGGTGCCATGATGTGTATGTAGCTACACAACTCATATAACTACATATTCATAAACATTATATGTATCTAAACTGTACTAGGCATTTTATACTGATTTTTCTTTTATTTATTTATTTATTTTTGAGATGAAGTCTTACTCTCGTCGCCCAGGCTGGAGTGCCTGGTGTAATCTCGGCTCACTGCAACCTTCGCCTCCTGGGTTCAAGTGATTCTCCTGCTTCAGCCTTTTGAGTAGCTGGGATTACAGGCACTTGCCACCACGGTTGGCTAATTTTTGTATTTTTACAAAATAGAGTAGAGATGGAGTTTCATCTTGTTGGCCAGGCTGGTCTCAAACTCCTGACGTCAGGCGATCTGCCCACCTCGGCCACCCAAAGTGCTGGGATTACAGGTGTGAGCCACTGTGCCTGGCCTATCTCCTTTTTTCAAAAGCATTCTTTTATAAACTTTAAAGATGTTTTTATATTTATAATTTGGTCCCTTGGGATAAGAAATTCTTTTTTATTTATTTAATGTGTCCGTTGACGTTTGGGAATATTTAACTACAAAGATAATCATTAGGTATTGTAATTTTACAAACAATGAAGACTCTAAAAATTATAAAGGCCTTTCATTGAGGAAAAAAGTTATTTAAAAACAGTGGGAAATGGTCAGGTGATTCATGCCTGTAATCCTAGCAGTTTGAGAGGCCGAGGCAGGTGGATTAACTGAGGTCAGGAGTTCAATACCAGCCTGGTCAACATGCTGAGACCCCATCTCTACAAAAATACAAAAATTAGCCAGGCATAATGGCAGGTGCCTGTAATCCCAGCTACTCAGGAGGCTGAGGTGGGAGAATTGCTTGAACCTGGGAGGCGAAGATTGCAGTGAGCCAAGATCACGTCATTGCATTCCAGCCTGGGCAACAGAACAAGACTCCATCACAAAAAAAAAAGAGTGGGAGAAAACATACATGTTCAAAAATAGATCTGATTTAAAAATCCTTATTAGACTTCGATGCAATTATTAATATAATATTTATAATTTTTAATGACATTCAACTTTTATGGCATATTTTGATAAAAATGGGTTAACAGTCAATATATTATTTTGCAAAGGGTATATGTATGTACGTGTGTGTGTGTGTGTGTGTGTGTGTGCATGTATACTTTGAAAAATACCTTTACATATATAGTCAGTAAATACAGTTACTATGTACATACATATATGCTGCATACATATGGAAAATATTTGGAAGGTTAAACTATTATCAGTAGTTGTATCTTGGTGACAGGACTATGAATAATTTTTAATTTAGTTTTTTATCTATCTCTTTTTGTAATACAAGCATAATGCTTTAATAATAAGGAAAAACATGAGAAAAAAGCTCATTGCTCTCGGGACAATGTTATGCACTGTGTAGAAAATAGAACTCGGTCTCACCTTGACTCCTGATGAGGTAGTGCCACTTACAGAGTGGAAATCACAAACAATGTAGGCTACAAGGTAGGTACTCATTTTTACAGTAGTTTCAAAGTGATCTTCCAAAAGGCCTCCATCAAGCTCAATTGTCTTGATCTACAGAAAGGAAAAGGAATAATTCATACTTGAAAACTGAAGTATTTCATAGCCATGTCTATGACTTACGACTCTAACTCAAGAGGCAAGCCTGATACTCTGAAGGAAAATCGATGACCTTGTAGGAGAGCAATGGCCTCTCATAGCATTCTGTGGCCTCTCTTACCTCTATTGCTTTTATCCCAGCACTCTGTTGAAGACACAAAGCCCCACTTTTGATATCCCCAAAGCACAAAAATGCCAAATCTCATTTTGTTGATTGAAACCACAAAAATATTAGGTGTTTATATTTTCTTAAAATGTAATAATCTCCAACACTGGCATCAATTCAAATTCTGGGCTTTTAAGTAAAATACTAGATAATGCCCCCTTTCCCTTTGTTGTACAAAAAATACACCTCTGCAGAAAAAGGAAACAGGAAGTAAAACTGAACTAAAGGCTTCACATTATCTTTTAATCCTCTTATGGAGTGTGAGGTTGGTGTTATTGCTCAGGTGAGGAAACAGAGGCTCGGAAATGTTAACTGAATTGTTGGAGATCACATGGCTAGTTCCATGGTGGGAACAAGATGTGAATGTGACCGTGTGACTCCAAAGATGATGATCATCCTCTCACTTGCTGTGTGACAGCTTGAGTCATGGTCTTATTTTATCTTTGCTTCATTGATTCAGCAATGAAAGCAGTCAGGCCAAGGAGGTCATTAGTAATTTAAGCTTCTGCCCAACTCCTGAGGAAGCAGAAACTTTTCAGCCTACAGTCTTGTCAGCTGCATCCATCAAGATGACTGGGTAATGACTGAATTCTATCTTCATTTGGTCTGGGCAGCTTGTCTCAGAGATGGTCTTCACCATGGTACAATGCCCCCAAACACTGAATGGAGACAGATTCAATAATCTGAAAACATTTTCTTTAAGCTAGTCACAACTCTTAGACTGGCTCTCCCGCACCTCTATTCTCAAGCCCGTTCTGGGAGTCAGGCTTGTGACAATGCTGACTGCAACTTATTAAGCATGTCTGATGTGCTGGATAAGATTAAACTGTGCTTTGGTGAGAAAATAGCTTGAAGCATTACCATAAATTATGTAGTCTACTTTGACGGCAAATGTTTTTGCTATTAAATTTTACGGAATTTAATTTTACTGAATTCTATTTGAAATCTATTTCTAAGTTCCAATTAAGAAGAAGATACTGACCAAATACTCTAAGAAAGGTAGAAGTAGATACAGGGCTGAAATTTTTTTAAAACTCGATCCAGCAAATTAATTTCCCTCAACAACAGTCTCCTTTTTTAGGAATCTGATTCAACCAACGTTCTCTGGATATCCACTCCCAGTAGACGAGATGCTGTTTTATGGTGGGGGCTGGGAGACAGGGTATTATTGTGATCTTCTGGCCAAGCTCAGCAGCAAAACCATCTAGTGAAGTGTGTGGAAGGGTGACTGGTGGAGGAGTAGGCTGTGAGGCTATGAGGAAATGAGTCTGGGCTACTAGAAATCTGGTGGCAGGAATGGTAGGAGGCAGATGGGTGTTGGCTATGATTTCTCCCCCCAGTGGAAGATGATGTAGTCCCTGGAGGCTGAGTTTTGTTCAGAAACCTAGAGTGACCCATGTAGATTAACACTGCCTTAAATGGATGTGTATGCGGTATTAGCGTAAGTTCTTCCAGGATGGTGATGTAAGCTCCACGTACAAAACACTGCCTGCTAGACAAGCATTAACTGTTTTCTCAATGCAGCAGAACTTGACTTGCATAGAAATTGTCACCAGTGGGTTTGTGTTCTCTTAAAGGATGAAAGAGACAAATCAGTGTCCAAAAGATATGCTGCCCCTACTAGCACTTGGGTGGCTCCTCACTTCTCTTAAATTCTGCATTCTTAACTAAGGAAATTGAGAACTGAGTCTGTATTGTTTCTTCCCACCAGTCCATAGCCCAGCTTAGGTGCTGCAACCATTATCTAGAGAGTATAATTGTGACATTAAGTCAGTTCTCCTTTTTTGACTAACCATGAGAGCCCGGGTTGGTCAATGTCTATTAAAAGCAGAATGTTAAATTGGTATTTGCTGAAAATGGCATGATCCAGTGAGTTGCTACAGTCAACTGGGCAAAGCAGACATCCAAAGACCTCAGAAAATATTTTCAAAGGCTGGGCGCAGTGGCTCATGCCTGTAATCCCAGAACGTTGGGAGGCTGAGGCGGGAGGATGACAAGGTCAGGAGTTTGATACCAGCCTGATCAATATGGTGAAACCCCATCTCTACTAAAAATACAAAAATTAGCCAGGTGTGGTGGCACATCCCTATAATCCCAGCTACTCAGGAGGCTGAGGCAGGAGAATTGCTTGAACCTAGGAGGCAGAGGTTGTAGTGAGCCGAGATCGTGCCACTGCATTCCAGCCTAGGAGACAGAGAAAGAATCCACCTCAAACAAAAAAAAAAAAAAGAAAGAAAGAAAGGAAAATATTTTCAAAGTGTTTGCTTCTTTTCCTTAAACATGAGAAGTTACTGGAGATTTCTGAGATATAAATTTTAAATTTTAATATAATAACGATAATGGCAATATATGTTTGCATTTTATTTTGATGAAAAAGGCTGTTTTTACTTTACCCACCATGATTATTCAGATAAAAAATCACATTAATAAAAACTTCCAGGAAAGCTACTACAATGATACACTGTCCTGAAACAAACATGCTGTTAGAAAGAAGGGTTGGCGTCAAAGGAGCAAATTGTTGCTACCTGAAAACGAAGGGCTAATTACACGACTCACTGTTACAACCACAGAAAAACTGAGCTATGGGGTCCCACGGAGGTTTGCCTCTTTTGCCTTTGATCTACTCTGCCAGTATTTCAGAGAAAATGTCTTTTCCAGCATTAAGTAGAAATCTGGGGAAAGGCAGTGTCCAGATCATGGGCTCGTTTCTCTCCTGCATCTGTAGAGGCAGAGAGGAAAATGGGCGTGCGGCCACTTGCTGACTGCGGATGACCTGCCGCCTCCCCTACTCCGCCTTTCTGAAGCACCATCAGGAGAGCCTCTATTTTTGTCCTACTTTCCAAGCAGCATTACAGAAATATTTTACATTTTGTTCAGCAGCACAAATGGCAAGCATATCATTAACGAGGAGGTATCAAACAAGGAAAAGGGTCTACTGTGCCTTCCAGAGTCTCTGCATTTTGAGTACCAACATGAGCCAAATAAGAGTCCCAATGTTCTTTTTCAATTAAAAAAGTTGTATAACCACAATTAATAATTTTCATAAATAAATTTAAGAATTACTTGTGAACTTATAAAAGGGGATTTCTAAGTTCCATCACAGACTACTAGATCAGAATTTCCTGGGCTGGGACCCTGTAAGGTCCCTGAGGTCCTTGTTACTGCAAAAGGGGTCTCTGGACCATCAGCAGTAGCATCACCTGAAGGCTTGTTAGAAAGGTAGAACTTCAAGCTTCAACCTAAGACTTCTTGAGTCAGAATCTGAATCTTAACAAGATCCTCAGACCATTCGAGACCATTCATTTAACCTAAAGTCTGAGAAGTGCTGCTCTAGGTGATTCCGAATTTCACCCCTGGCCAAGTGACACTGATTTAAGATACTGTCTCCATATGAACACAACATATAAATCACTTTCCTTGAAAAAAACAAAAAAAGCTTTTTGTGTAACAATGCCCCAAACAGAATGATGTTAAAGTCTAGAATGGTTGAGATGATGATGCATTAATGACTGAAATCCTAAAGCAATTAAAAAACAAACAAACAAAGACTGAATCTCAATTTGAGAACAATTTCTCAACGTTTCTGGAAGTGGAAATACCTTTGGCATGTTGGATAGTGCGATATGCCTGCTCTCTCTTCGGATCTTGATGGAAAAGTTGGCTTTGAACAATGGTTCATCAAAGCAAGGGAAAGCCATGCGTGCCTGGGTTGGCTCAAAATCCGTTACTGCAAGTATTCTGTGAAAAGACCCACCCCCAGCCAAAATGCACAAGTGAAACCAAGAAGAGAAATGAATCTGTATATCTAGCAAACAGCTTCTCAAACCTGGGGGTAATAGACTTGATGTCTCAAACTACAATCTTCGTGAATCTCAAAAACTGTCTTTTGAGGAAAATGAAGGTAAAATCTTATTTAGCAGCTACCAATCATGAGCAATGCCCTTTTCTGGGAACCCTAATTACATTATTTCATTCATACTCAGGTCAGACAAGGATCTTGAGACTCAGAGAACTTGAATGACTTTAGCAGGATCCCTAGCCAGTAAATGGCTGAGATAGTACACGTTTTCTACATGACTTCAAAATTCACTAGGAAATTAATCGTCAGTATTGTCTCTAAACCTGAAAGGGCCTTATGCAGACATTTGAGTAATTATGTACATGAGTGATGTCTTAAGTTGTGTTTCCAGGAAGCAGACCCTGACTTATTGAGAATATAATGCCAGGAGAAACAGGTCCTTACCTCCAGGACGGGGAAAACAGAGAAGCCAGTCAAAGGTGCAGGACAGGCAAAGTCCCAGCATCAGCCTGATTCCCAGGGAGCTCTGGGATGCAAACTACACTTTCACGTGTCCCCCACTGGAGGCAAGGAGCTGGCTTTTATATTCTTTTATCATTATTCACTAATGGTCTCCCTGTGGCACCTGTGACCCCAGGTACTTCCAGCTATCTCTGCTTGCCACTCTTCAGACAATGACAGGTATAGTAGATATATACTCTGACAAACTTATCGACCCCAACACCTGGATGCCTGAAACTGTAACAGTTGCAGATTTACTCTTTGGACTTTAAGCTGCAATTAAGAAGTGAATCTGAGGAGCAGATTTTGACTGGAAAAGGAGGGCAGACTAGAATAGCTCAAATGAGAAAGAGAGAGAGGTCAGGAGGGAAGAAAGAGAAGCTGTTAGGATATTTTCCTTCAGCTTACTTTATTTCTTTGAAACAGGCTGGGAAACTAAGGCTAGGGATGTAAATGATTCACTTGTGGCCTCAAGGTTTTATTTGTATTTGGTAGTAGGTTCTGCAAATGTAAAGGAATTCTAAGTGGCTGGAATAATTTTCACCCATGTGAAATTTTGGTTGTAATAAGTCTACGTTGAAAAAAACAAAAAAACAAAGGAACAGAACCTTTGCTGCTTGCACAATTAATCTGAACTCTACATGCAAAGTGTGACTTTCTGCATCTCAAAAGAACTACCATCAACTGAATTATTTGGGTATTTTAAATGAAGAAGTGAGGAAGAAAGAGAGATTCATAAGATTCAATTGACATTGTGCAGCACATTATCCTACATGTCAGACCTACTAGGTGACTGAGTATGAAGGGAACTGCTAACCATAAGAAGAGCCAGGAATAGCCTGCAATTAATTATGGGAGGCATGCTGGCAAGTCCTCCAGCTTTACTCCAAATATCTCCCCCTCTACTCTCCCACAACTCCCAGAATAGTATTCCTAAGATGTATGTCCTTTGGATGGGGCCTTTGGCATTTGAAAAAAATGAAAAAAGCCATCATTGTTTACATGGTGCCTTAGTGAGAAGGAGTTGATATTTTTCCTAGCCTGAGAACAAGCCCCTGAAAATTGTGGCTGCAATGAGAAGAAGTGTCACCAAGGGGAAGCGGAAGGAGATGAGCGTGGGGAAGAGTTTACCTCCCCGATGGATCCTGGCCCTGGAAAACCAAACCATCCACTCCATGAAGCATCCTTGATTCTTATCTTTCCCTCACCTCACATGACCAATGTCAGCAATCTCTGTTGTTTTGCCCTTCAAAATAACTGCCAAGTTCAATTGCTTCACTCCATAAGCATTGCCACTAGCCTTTCCCAAATTACCATCACTTCTTTTTTTTCTTTTTTTTTTTTTTTTTTGAGACGGAGTCTCACTCTGTCATCAGGCTAGAGTGCAGTCGTGATCTTGGCTCATTGCAACCTCTGCCTCCTGGGTTCAAGCAATTCTCTTGCCTCAGCCTCCCCAGTAGCTGCGACTATAGGCATGCACCACCACACCCAGCTAATATTTGTATTTTTAGTAGAGACAGGGTTTCACCATTTTGGCCAGGATGGTCTCAATCTCTTGACCTCGTGATCCACCTGCCTTGGTCTCCCAAAGTGCTGGGATTACAGGCGTGAGCCACCATGCCTGACCTTACCATCACTTACCTGAATTACTGCAATGACCTCCCAAATGATTACTCTGCTTCTCTGTAACATACCCTCAACATAGACTTGATATTTACAAAGCATAAATCAGAGTAGAATCTTCCAATCCCTTCCCATCTCATCTGAGTAAAAGTCAAAACTCCTTATAAGATGCTCCAAGGCTCCACATGATCTGATCCCTTTCTCCCTCTTGTTCACACTCTTCAGCTCACACTGGCCTTCTTCTCTCAATCAGTCCCACCTTAGAGCCTTTGCACTTGCCCTGAGATGTTCTCATAACTGTTTCTTTAAAAAAAATATCAGCTCTCAATTTAAATGCACTTCCTCAACAAAGACTTCCCTGCGCAGTCATCTGAATTAGTCTCAATCCCCAGCCACACTTTCTACTTTTTTTGCACCTTGTTTTATTTCATTCATAGCACTGTCCACTTACCTCACGAATTTTATTTATTTTCTTGTCCTGGTTGTCTCTTCCAGCAGATCCCACCATTATACATTCAGTGCCTAGTGCAGTGTCTGGCATATAGTATGTGCTCAATGAATATGACTTGATCACATAGACCATATTTCTCAATTTTTCAAACAAACTTATTCCTTGTTTCTGCCTATTGGCTATGAGTCATGCTGCTACCTGGGCAATGTATACTCTGTCACTTCCTCTCTCCCAACCCCAATCTCACTTACGTTTCCTTCTGGTCCCAGACGAAGACTCACTTCCTTTGAGAAGCACTCCCTATTTCAGCCCTCTCTATATCTACCATCTCTTTCCTTAGCACATAAGCATATCCAACTTATCACAGTCATATACTGGCCTCTCTTCCTAGTTATCCCCCCTCCAGCTGTTTATGCCTCTGCAACCTGTCTTTTCATCTCTACTGTGGTTTCCTTAAGGAATGGTAGAGCTATTCCTTCTTCTGGGTTCCCCATAGTTTACAGGATTTTTCATAAATGGCTGCTGAAGTCTGCTCCTGGCAAAGAGATGTAACTCATAAGGAAATTATCACAAGAGAATGTAAATTACCTGAGCAAGTTCTTACCTTGTTTCACCACCAACAGTTCTGTATGTGCTTTTATAAAACCCTTCAAAGCCATCAGCTAACTTGGCTTGGAAGTCAATAGCCACATAGTATTTCAGGTGAGGTATAAGTTTCTCTGGAACCAGAAGCGCAATTTGTTGATGAGGAGGATAACTCAAAACTTTCAGCTCTCTTCCTGGTTTCATGTATCTTGAATCTTCCTCTGACTGAAGGGTGGCATTCATGATTTCAAGATCTTTGCTGTGCAAGATGATAAACTGGGTAGCATTGCTGACCAAGACCTCAATCTTCTCAGATGCAACAAAGTCCAGAGAGGTGAGATTCGGATGGACAAAGAGGTCATAATGGAGGGGAATGACCACGTTGGGGAGCCTTAGCTTCTGCCAAGGAAATGGTTCCCCATTGGCAGCTACTGGGAAAGCCCCAGCGTCCTCAGTGAAGTGATAACTCGGAGAACAAATGGATATTTGAAGCAAGATGGCTGCTAAGCAGTAAAATCCTGTGTGAATATTAAACCTTGGTGTTCTGCATGAATTAACCACTGCAGAATAATGAAACATGAAATCTGTTCTCTAGATGACAAGTTAATATCCAAGCTAATCTCCTAGTTCTTCATAGCACTGCACTGGCTCCAGTATGTCCCATGGGATCAGAATAATATTTTCAATATATGAATTTAATCTAGAAGAAAAAAACCCACTTATAGCATAAAGAAAAAAATTTCAATTTACAAATAGAATCTTAAACATAAAAATATTTGTGTAAGAGAAAATCTGCTCGCTGTCAGAATTAGGCCAAGTATCTACAAAATACAGCAGAAATTAAGCTGTCATATGGTTATTACAAGTAAAAACCCTTTAGAACTGCCCCAAAACCCTTACCTTAAAATTGAATGTAATGGATTTCTTCTGAATTCTTGTGCAATGAGCAGAAAGTAGGTGTGTAAATTCATTGCATGTTGAATGTTTTTAACATTTGGTTATATTTTAAATTTTTGTTTATTCATTTATGTTTTAGACAGGGTCTTGCTCTGTTGCCCAGGTTGGAGTAGAGTGTGCAGCCATGATCACAGCTTACTGTAGCCTCAACTTCCTGGGCTCAAGTGATCCTCCCACCTCAGCCTCCAGAGTAGCTGGGACTACAGACACACATTGCCACACCCAGCTACTTTTTCTGTAGAGATGGGGGTCTCCCTATGTTACCCAGGCTGGTCTCCAACTCCTGAATTCAAGCAATCCCCCCCACTTAGCCTTCCCCAGAGTGTTAGGATTATAGGCATGAGCCACTGTAACCAGCCTATTTTATTTTAATTTTTAAAGATAATGTCTCACTATGTTGCCCAGGCTGGCCTCAAATTCCTAGGGCCAAGCAATCCTGATTCCTCAGCCTCCCAAGTGGCTGGAACCACTTAAAAGTACACATGTACTTTTAAGAGTATGCCTGAAAGCAAACTGCAAGCTGTCTCTATTTTGTCTTCAGAAGTCACAAAGAATATTCTATATGTATTCTACATTCTTTGGATACCGGATATTATTATTATTACTACTAACAGCACTGAACTTCACCTCTTTCAGTAACATTATCTGAATGGCCTCATTTTATGGCCACTGGTGTAAAGGCTGCTGGTCAAGGTAGGTGCTTATCCTCAGTTTATTTTCAATGTCAAAAGTCATGGAAATAAATTTTGAGTTTATAATATTTTCACAGAATTTTTTTAAAGATTTGGGTCTTTTCCCTTTATACTACTTTTGAAAGCAAATTGGCTGGGCATGGTGGCTCACACCTGTTATCCCAGCACTTTGGGAGGTCGAGATGGGCAGATCACCTGAGGTCGGGGGTTTGAAACCAGCCTGACCAACATGGAGAAACCCCGTCTCTACCAAAAATACAAAATTAACCAGGCAAGGTGGTGCATGCCTGTAATCCCAGCTACTCGGGAGGAGAATCACTTTAACCCAGGAGGTGGAGGTTGTGGTGAGCCGAAAGTGTGCCACTGCACTCCAGCTAGGGCAACAAGAGCAAAACTTCGTCTCAAAAAAGAAAAAAAGAAAGCACAATTAAATCAAACTGAATTTACTACCTTTGCAAATAGAACTAAATTTCTTTCTGTTCAAAGGGTAAATCTACAACACAAATAAAATTAGGAGAAACAGCTGGTTAATTTAGGGAATCAGTTCTTACTCCCACCCTGCCAGCTGCCTCTACTTCCTTACTGCTTCAACTCAAACCATGAAGGTTTTTTCTGCTGCTTCTTTTTTAATCCTTAACAAGTTCTGCAGAATTAATTATCCGAACAATTACTTCAATTTTTTTAACTTGCAATATTAATGCAGATAACAGATATGGTTAAATGAACAAAAAATAAAATAAAATCATATTAAATAAAGACAGTTCTCCTTCCTTTTAAAAACAAGCATTAAATTACTGCTACCAAATCTCAATGTTCCAAGAACCTCTGATAAGTACAATCATGATTGGCCTATTAGCTTGAATTTTGGAGGGATTTAAAAAAATGGAGTGGCTTATTAGTTAGGTCTGGCTCCTTGGAATCAGAGTGCCTAAATTCCAACATTAATTCCACCAACCTCACCTGTGTGATCATGGGCAAAGTTTCTGACTCTCTGAGCTTTATTTCTCTCACGCATAAAACAGTGTAGTAAGTATACCTTCCTCATGCTGGGATGATTAAATGAAATAATTCATGTGAAGAAGTTGGGATGGCATAGCATGGGGCATATAGGAAGCAAGTAATGAATGCTGGATGTTAAATTATCATTCGGACTATAACTTGCATTCCATGGCCAAAATGAAGGCGTAGGTCTGCCCCGACTTGCAGCAGACACTCCCAGAGATGTACTTGATTGATAAGAGTAGAGAGAAAAGCTTTGATATTTAATCACACGGTCTTTAACTTTAGAGCTAGAAAGGGTTTTAAGGCCAGATAGAACAACTCCTTAATGTTCAGGTAAAGAAACAGGACCGAGCTCAGTGACTCAGGCCTGTAATCCCAGCACTTTGGTAGGCCAAGGTGGGCAGATCATGTGAGGTCAGGAATTTGAGATCAGCCTGGCCAACATGGCAAAACCCTGTCTCTACTAAAAATACAAAAATTTGCATGTGCCGGGCATGGTGGCACATGCCTGCAGTCCCAGGTACTTGGGAGGCTGAGGTATGAAAATCGCTTGAACTCGGGAGGTGGAGGTTGCAGTCAGCCGAGATCGTGCCGCTGCATTCCAGCCTGGGCTCACGCCTGTAATCCCAGCACTTTGGGAGGCCGAGGCGGGTGGATCACGAGGTCAAGAGATCGAGACCATCCTGGTCAACATGGTGAAACCCGTCTCTACTAAAAATACAAAAAAAAAAAAAAAAAAAAATTAGCTGGGCATGGTGGTGCGTGCCTGTAATCCCAGCTACTCAGGAGGCTGAGGCAGGAGAATTGCCTGAACCCAGGAGGCGGAGGTTGCGGTGGGCTGAGATGGCGCCATTGCACTCTAGCCTGGGTAACAAAAGTGAAACTCTGTCTCAAAAAAAAAAAATTAAATAAATTAAATTAAATAAACAGGATGGTGACTTCTCAAAATCCACAGAAGAAGTCTGAGGCAGAATCAGGACTAAAACAGCCCTTTGGCCTTTGGTCTGGTGGGCTTTCTATTACACTGCGCTGTACCTTAACTAGCAATGCAGTGAACAAAACATCCGGGGACTACAGAGGCAAGAATTGTCACAAACGTTCAGAAAAGACAAAAGGTGTCTGAAAGAGAGTCAGTGCAGCAGAGTCTTAGATCTAAGTCCCGTCCTCAACTGCACACATTTTCTAGTTCAGCCGTGCCCAAGTCACCCCAGTTTCCCAGAACCCTGCCTTAGATTACAGAACCTTTGCAATACAGCAGTTCTGTACCTTCAGTTCACTATTCTCACTGAAAAATTCTAATTTTAAGACAAACCCAAGAGAAATGTTGATATGTTACCTTAAATCATGCTGCGGCAGATTTGACTGAAGGGGAATTTATATTTGCTTTCACTTTCTGTTCTAAGCTTCAGAATTTTGCATGCTTCCTGATTACAGTGCTAGCTGGTTTATTATCACGCTTGTGTGAATAGAGCTTAGGATAACAGCTTTATTCCAAAAAGGACAAGAAACTTTACGTAGAATGCACAAATAAGTGGCTTCGGAGAGAAGCCAAACCATTCAAAGGAAGGATCCCCAGCAGCTGCTACTTCTGCTGTGTTACCTGCTCTGTTCCCTTATCCCCAGTGTAAAACCTTCAGGACATAGTTCATGGTTTTTAGTGCCAAGTTGTCTTAAGACTTGATCTTGAACTACTTGTGTTGCGTTCACAGTGCTATGAAATCTGACTTCTGCCCATCCACCCCACAAACGTAAGCTTACCCAACAGCTCCCAGTCAGCTTCCGTGGTCTTTATCAGAGGTGATTATTCTCAGCTTTTCCCTGTCTGTAACCTCCCAGTCTCCTTTGGCCCGAGGGGACTTTATCTCACCCTCATCTCTTTGATCTCTCTTTATCTGCCTGGTTGAGTGGGGCTTCTGCTTCCTCTGTGTTCTGAATGTAAGTTTTACACAAAGATGAAACCGCTGCCCTTTGCTCTGCTCTCTCTTTACCCGTTCTAGTACCCAGATTTAGCATTTATCCTTATTCATCCCACATTGCTCCCATTCTGATGCCTCCTTCAGTGGTTCTGCAGCTGTAATTCCAACAGCCTGATGGACTGGCATTACAGGGATGTCTAATCCTAAACTGAACCAGAACCCTAACAACTCAAAGAGTGTTTTCCTTCCCAGATGAACACCCTCTGCTTTAACTTCATCTGCTTCCAGCCTTCTTCCATTATCTAGGATTGAACTATATAGTTAGTTATTTTGATTCTATGCCTCTCCAATTTGTTACCAAAGCCTTGATTTGTTGATTTTTCAGTTTTGATCTTTCTTTTCCTTTTTCCTTTTTTTGTTTTTCTTTTTTGAGATAGGGTCTTACTCTGTCACCCAGGCTGGAGTGCAGTGGTGCCATCCCAGTTCACTGCAGCCTCAACTTCCTGAGCTCAAGTGATCCTCCCACCTCAGCTTCCTGAGTAGGTGGGGCTACAGGCATGCACCACCACACCCAGCTAATTTATTATTATTACTATTCTTATTATAAATTAGGTCTTCTATGTTGCTAAGGTTGGTCTCAAACTCCTAGGTTCAAGTGATCCTTCTGCCTCAGCCTCCCAAAATGTTGGGATTACAGGCGTGAGTCGCTGCAACCAGCCCTTTTTAATCATTTTCAATCTCTTTCTATGCAATTAAGAAAAACTCCCACAGCTGATTAAAGTAGCCCAGGTCCTCATCCTTCCTCACAATGGCCTTCACCCATGTCTTCCTGGCTTCCCAAGCTCGGCTTCCTGCAGTTTACTTGTACAATGCCACTGGATTAAGCCTTTCAACTACTGCTTGACCATGCCTCCCCAGCTGCTCAAGATCTTTTCTTGATTTCTACATTTACAGAGGGGTAAGTCCTAGTGTGGGAACCATGGTGGCCAACTGGCAGCTTATGTGCCAGCCTATAGTTGTTTTGCTTGAATCACAGTCTATTAACGGCAATACACCCACACAAGTCCTACTGTTGAGTGAAATATAGCAAGCTTAGCTCTTACTGTTTCGCAGTCATTCTTCATAGACTTATATCACGTGCCTTGTCTTGCTGGGGTTTGTGTTTGCAACCTATGTTTGGCCCAAAAGCACATGTTGCCGTGATTAGATCCTTCTTAAGACTCAAGCTTTAACTTTTCCCCCTTCCTATATTTTATTATTTTAACCTGGATGAACAAGTTGATAAAGTAGAAGGGGCAGAAAGCAAGGCAGTAACCTACACCTACGGCCCAAGGCATAAGACTGAATGGGACCCTCAGAGCTGTATTTCATGTAGTGAGAGTGGCACCACAGGAAGGGGGATGGCTGGAAACCAGTGAGTAGGAAAAAGAAGGATACAAAGGGGACAAAGAAGATGAGGTCCCGGGGACTTATCTACGGACTCTAACTCTGCAGGGCGTAGGGGCAGGTGGAAGAGGCTGGGAGTATTTCTGTGATATTCCTTGTCACAGCATCCAGCCTAGTTGTGGATGTGTGAGCGAGTGCATGTGTGTTTTCAGAGCTCACTCCTTCCCATTGGAACAGAAGGGGTGATGGAGAAGGAAGAAACAGGTTATGGGATTAAGCTGCAGAATCCTAGAAGAGAAAGTTGAGCAGGATTCAAGTACTTTGTAGCTTATTTAGTACCCAGTTTCTCAGCAAAATGGGCTCCTAACTTTTCTTATCTTTTCTTTCTCTTTCCTTCTTTCTTTTTCTCCTTTTCTTTCTCTTCTTTCTTTTCTCTCTTCTTCTTTTTTTTTTTTTTAATAAGAGGATAAGCTTTGAGAGGCTTGTTGTCTGGGGAATTCATATCTCACTCTTCCATTTCATCCTGGTCTTCTGAATTGTCTGTTACTCAGTAAGAACCTCCTTGTGTCTGTCTAAGGCAGTACCACCCCTCCCGGAATCCACCCTGCCACCACCAAGGCCTGTCCCTTCAGCCTGATTTTCTTCTTAGCATTGCTCAGTTCCTGATACTTCATTATACAGTTGTTTGTTTTCCTGTCTCCTCACTAGAACATAAGCTCTTTGCAGATAGCAACTCTGCTCTCTAACTGCTGAGTGCCCAGCCTAGAGCAGAGCCTGCCATGTAAGAGACCCTCAACAAATGTTAGCTGAATGTGTGAATGCACTCTCAGTGTTTAAGTTTTAGGTTTTTTTTTTTTTTCCTCCTAGATTGCCCAACACTTGCTTCATGCTTCAGACACATCAGGGTACTTTCCACTTCTGGATGAGCCCCGACTTTCCTCATCTTTTCTGCACCTGTCCCTCCATTGACATAGAGTGTCTATGGAACACTCAGAATGTCCCCTGTGTAAACCACCTATCACAAGGTAAATGCTAGCCCCAAGAAGTCACCTTGGAAGTAACACACGCCTCCTCTTCCAGTCCCTAACTACAGGCATTTGTTTAGTAGATCTGCTGGCCCCCATCTGAGGCTAACATGTTTGTGTTTCATTTTCTTCCTCAGATTATCAACTTCAGGTGATGGGCCACCCACCAGGATTCCACCTCTTTCTAGCACCTATCAGTGTTGGGCACATCACAGGCCTCAACAAATAGGTGAGAATGAATGATTTAAAAGTAATTTTTCCAAAGAGTTGATACTTTATTGTCAAAATATTTTAAAGATTTTACTAACTTTCATGAATATTTTTATTAAAGACATTACATATGTTTCTATCCTCTTAGAGTGTTCTCAACAGATTTAAATCTTAATGACTTCCTTTTTTAAATCATAAACTGAAGCTAGGATCAAGAGAATTGAATCGTCTTCTTAAAATAATTCACTTCCTCATCTCTAAATTAGACACAGTGATACTTTGCTACAGAGGATTGTTGTCAATCTGAGAATCAATTAGGGAAATTATATGATAGACAATTCATAAATGTTTTATACACTTCAAAGTTCTTTACTTGCATCATTTACTTTTATTCTTATTTTTTTGGGACAAAGTCTTGCTTTGTTGCCGAGGCTGGAATGCAGTGGCACAATTACAGTTTATTGGAACCTCGACCTCCTGGGCTCAAGCAATTCTCTTGTTTCAGCCATCTAAGTAGCTGGGGCTACAGGTGAGCACCACCACATATGGCCAATTTTTGTATTTTTTTGTAGAAATGGGGTTTTGCCATGCTGCCCAGGCTGGTCTCAAACTCCTGGGCTCAAGTGATCCACCTGCCTTAGCCATTTTTTTTTTTTTTTTGAGACAGGGTCTCACTCTGTCACCAGGCTGGAGTGTAGTGACGCGATCTCGGCTCACTGCGACCTCTGCCTCCCAGGTTCAAGTGATTTTCCTGCCTCAGCCTCCTGAATAGCTGGGACTATAGGTGCCTGTCACTGCACCTGGTTAATTTTTGTATTTTTAGTAGAGACAGGATTTTGCCATGTTGGTCAGGCTGGTCTCAAACTCCTGACCTCAGGTGATCTGCCCACCTCAGCCTCCCAAAGTGCTGGATTTACAGGCATGAGCCACCATACCCAACCCTGCCTTGGCCTTTCAAAGTGCTGGGATTATAGGTGAGAGCCACCATGCCTACTTTTATTATAATAGCATTTTATATTATATTGTTGCTATTAAGTGCTGTTCTTATAGCAAACAAAATGTAATAAATTACCCCATGTTGCTATATCTTGTTGAATTCTCGTGAGTACTGTACAAAGTTTATTTTACCCCCTCCACTACTATCCAATTTTTATTTACCTTCTATTGTCACTCTCAGTTAACCCTAACCACCATCCTAAACCTCTCTCAGTATTATTTCTTTCAGTATACTGCAAACTGAAAAATCAATAAACAAAGCTAGTTGAATATTATTTCAAGCACTCAGATGCCTGAATTACTTCTTGGCCAGGCACAGTAGCCCATGCCTGTAATTCCAGCACTTTGGAAGGCTGAGGCAGGCAGATTACAAGGTCAGGAGATTGAGATCATCCTGGCTCACACGGTGAAAATGCATCTCTACTAAAACTACAAAAAACTTGCTGGTCACGGTGGCACATGCCTTAGTCCCAGCTACTTGGGAGGCTGAGGCAGGAGAATCACTTGAACCCAGGAGTCGGAGGTTGCAGTGAGTCAGGACCATGCTACCGCACTCCAGCCTGGGTCACAGAGTGAGACTCCTTATCAAAAAAAAAAAAAAAAAAAAAAAAATTACTTCCTAATGCTGTCTGTGTTACAAGTGGGGAGATTCAGAATGAATAAAATGACAAATCGCTTCCTGACAAACAAAATTTTATTGAATCTCCTTCTCCCTTTCTGTTAATGTGGTTGTTGAACTTCTTCCTCTTAATATAGTCACAGTGTGGCCTTTGTTAGTGCTAGATGTTTGTCACTCTCAAGCCAACTTACAGTTAAATAGTAGCTTCCTTTTCTCTGACTTCCTTTTTTTTTTTTCCAAAGGATCTCTACAAATCTGTTAAAAGTACTTTTAGGAATTATTGCTATGCATGTGTTTATTTTCAGACAAAATAGAGACCCAGTCTATAATATGGGCTTAAAATTTTTAATTTAAGTGAAAGTTTATGTTAGTATAAAGACTCAGGGCCTTATGCAAAATACGAGAAATGGGGGCAGGGAAGGGATATTCACACAGTAAATGCAATCTGTAGCTTCTTTTAATCTCAGTTGCAACAGAAAATTAAAACATGTATTCTCAGAATCTTAAATCAGTAACTGACAGGAAGATGGATTTTCAAAAATAGTTATCTTTTGCAATGCCTTCCATGAAGCATTTACTGAAAACAAAAACAGAACACTGCAACCATAAAAATCTGATGTTGTTCAAGTAGAACAGAATATTAGACCAACCTGACACTGAACAACTGGTATTTTACCACATTTAAAATTTCTATTTAATAGCCAAATGAAAAATGCTGGTGCCTCTCTTATTTTCTTTGCAATCAAAGGTTATCTAAATAGCTGATGACACATTCTCAAACAGGAAAAATGGTGACAAAATAAACCAGAGTGATTCTGAGCTTGTTAAATATTTTGAAAATAAATTTGTATGCTTTCAACCTGCTGGTTAAAACCAACTGATTAAACCAAATCAGCAGTGTTTTGGCTTTCCTCTATTTAAATATTTAACTAAAAAAATCTATAAGAACTTTTGCTTCTGGCCAAGATAGAGTAGGGACTCTGATTTATTTTCCTGCTTGAAACAACCAAAAAAGATAGACAAAAGACAGTTTACAAGACAATGAATATCAGGCAACCCAACACAACCATCCCTGGAGAAAAGGAAACAGGCAAGCTCTGTGGTTTCCCAGCTTTCTGCCTTGAGAGAGGTTTCACGCTGCTTTGCAGGGAGAGAGAACTAAGACAGAGCCCAGCAGATTCTTTGAGTTGAGCAGTTGGAGATGAGTCTG